TGACTATTAATGAGGAAAAAATATATATATATATATATATATATATATATATATATATCATGAAGCCAACCTCAAATAGTTGGGATGAGGCTAATATTTTTTATGTTGATATATATTCAAGTAAAAAAAAAAATATTTATTGCAGCATAATTACTATCATTACTTAAGCCTTGGTTTTGAATAAGATCACTATTTGTCGATGCCGTATTATTATATTCTGTGTTTGCTTATGCTATGATTCTATATTTTGCAGGAAGCCCTTAATATCATTTAGGACGAGTGCATATCACTTTTGCAAGCTTTCTTTGGTGAAGTCTCCCAGTTGTGTTGCATCGACCTGTCAATATTCTTGTTATGAGCCAGTATCTGACGGATTAGAGCCTGAAATCAATTGTGACATACAAGAATCTGTTAACAAGTTTGGTAGAGAAGATTCTATTCAATCATCAGGTGAGTTTATTTTCATGACTTTCAGCTTGTGGAGTTGACCTTGCAATTTTTGAACCTCATTTTTTTAATATGAACAGTATAATTTCTTCATAAGAAGCTGATGTTAAAAGTTCCGCTTCTATTGTACTTCAAGGTGTTAGATCAGTCTCAGGATCTTCTCAGTTATGATCTATTCATCACCATGCATGTTACATCTTTTAGATTTTTTTTATTGGGGCTTATTTCTCCATGTAATCCAAATTTTCATGAAAATTTTACAATATTTTTTAGAATCGCTAAGCATCCTAGTATTTTGAGTCCAGAGTATTAGCCTTAGTACCCTTAAATATTTCATGATCTTACTTTTTCATCTCTAAATTTATGATATTGCACCTGTTATGGACAGTATATGTGTTGCAATTGAGACTTTACAAATTCTTACTTGTTGGATGTTGAAGGCCACACGGGCTCGTGGTTGCTTGATCTATAAAGTGTATAATGAACTACATATACTGTGAATGATTTGAGTAGGCTATGAAAGGGATGAAAATTACAAGAAGATTGTCAGTAAAGGTTCTAACAATTTATTTTTATGCTCAACTTGTGAAGGAGGTGAAGTGCTGTTTAAACGAACTTTATGTGAAGAATTGTGATTATTTTTGGTGATGAAGAGCTTGAGTTGGATGAAGAGAATGTGATCTTTCCTCTTTTTTAACTGAAACTTTTTCTTTCTCTAGCTAGTAACTCCTTATATAAAGACAAGTTGAAGGTTATTCCACAAAGATTTCATATAATGGTTATAATAGGAGGTTTACTTATTCAATTTCGGATTGATAGCTCCGGTTAATAATAATAGCACATGGTTGTATGTCTCATCTCCTAAAAATACCATGTTGATTCTTCACATGAAATTTGAGATCATTAAGGGCTAGTTTATTTCACTTCAAGTGTTGTATCTCAATTTTAAAAGCGGGTCGCATTGCAAGTGACTTGAAATTATTTATCGTGTGAATTTATTTCTTGTCAATATGGCTATTGCGTTTGTTTGGGCTGCAATGAGTTTAATTTTTCACTGGAGTCGTATCTATTTTTTATTATTTTATTATTATTTTAAGTAAAAGTAATATTTTTCCCACCTTCCAATTACTTTATTATTATTCAGTTGTTGATAATGGTAAAAAATGTGAAATTTAAGATTGCTTCTTGGAACACATGGTTGAAACTTCTCGCCTTTTTGAAGATGCCAAGAACTAGCGCATGATGTCACTTTTGAAACTTGGTTCCAAGCGCTCTTGCACATTTATGTTGAAACACAGTTGGCGCACATTTATGTAGAAACACAGTTGGCCCTAAGTACTATAATATGACACTAATATAATCTTTTGGGGTTCAGGTTGTCCAATATACTCTGGGAGAGCTATCTCAATTGTTTAAGAAAGGCTTTAGTCTATTTTCTAGACTGAAATTTTACAAGCAATTTATTATAATCTATAGCTTTTGATATATGCTCTAACCGTTATGAATCCTCGTTTTCCATAGTCTAGTTGAATGCTACATAGGATGCTGATTCTATTTTATACAAAAATTTTCCGGAGCTTTTATACCTGATACTTTTTGTTTATCCTTTGCACTTCATAATCCTTAAACGTTAATATCATTTACTTGCTTTTGTTTTTTAAGTTTTTTACTCTGCACTGTACGTTCCTAAAGTGCTATAAACTATTTTCTTATTATCTTCAAGGACTAATACTCCCATCATCTTACTATTATAATAGTTTATTAATCCATCTTTATGGTTGTACAACACCTTCATCTTGATATCCTTGTAACCCATTTTAACTCCTAATGATTTTTTTTGTTGCAAAACATTTAGATCCAAAATGATATGGCTCATCCAATTGTATTTTTTTTGAAATTTACCTTTATGTAATATTCTCTAAGAGACTATTTATTTTGATGAAAGTATTTGGAAGTTGTTGATTGTAGTACTGGAACTTAGTTCAAGTATTTGTTGGCAGAAAGTTGATGGAATCGACTTACCTTTCTTGGATCTCAACGTAAAGTTGAGTAGTGAATTCCAATTACAAGGCCTTAGAATGTTGGAAGCTAAATTCAATTTTGCTTTTGCATATAAGCGCTTGCATATAAGCGCTTGCATATAGAGATTTAGATACATGTTCAAAACAAAAGTTTTGAAATGACTTAGAAGAATATATACAAAAGGATGCCTCTTGAAGAAAGAATTTTTATTAGAGGAGATTTAAATGAACATGTTGGTAGGGTGATAGATGATTTTAGAAATATTCATAATGGCTAAAGTTTTGAAGTAACAAATAAAAAATGTAGAGTCATATTTGATTTTGCTTTACGTATGATTTTGTTATTGCTAATATTTTATTTAAGAAAGAAAAGAGAATATTAGTATTTATAAGAATGAATCTAATAAAACATAAATTTATTATTTTCTTATGAGAAAATTGATCTTAGAAATTATAAAGTTTGTATGGTAATTTCAAGTGAAAATTTTAGTACTTAATATCAATTGATAGTATTGAATTTTACAATAAAAGGTTGGAGGATGAAAAATATAATTTGATATTATCATAAAATTAAATAGAGACACTTAAAACAACAACAACAACAACAAAGCCTTAATCCCACTACGTGGGGTCGGCTACATGAATCCTTTTTCTCCATTGCGTCCTATTTAGTGTCATATTTTCATTTAGTTCTAGTAAATTAAGATCATTTTTAATACAATAAGCCCAAGTCTTCCTAGGTCTACACTTAAAAGATAAATAAAATTATTTTTATGAGTGAGCATCAAATTATTGAGGATGATTTAGGATATTCATGAAGAAGCGGATGCTATATGGGATAAAATAATCAACACTATTAAACAAGTTGAAAAAGATGTACTTTGAGAATCAAAAGGAAATACTCTTCTAAATAATAATAATAGTTGACGGTGGAATAATATTCTGCAAGAAAAAATTAAATATAAGTAATTTTGTTATAAAAATTAGTTTAAATTTGAAATATTAGAGAATTGGGAAAAATAAAAGGTGGACCCTAGGGAGTCTAAGAGAATAATTTGTAATGTTAAGAATTCAGCCTTTGGAGATCTTTTTAATAAATTAGATATTAAAGATGATGAAAGATGTATGCATAAACTAGTCAAATAAAAATATAAGAAAAGTAAAAGTTAGTTCAAGTGTATTAAAGATGAACTTTAAAAAAGTATTTTTCTTAAATGAGAATATTTAATATAGGCGAGTGAGATATTTTGATAAACTTCTAAATGAATATTTTGAAAATACGATTAATTTTAGTGATCTTAATATTGTTTATAATAATAAAACTTTTTATTTTTACCGTCGCATTAGTATAATGAAAGTTGAGGAGGCTTTAAAGAAAATGAAAATTGAAAATCAGCAGGATCTGATGGTATTCTTGTAGAATTGTGGAGATTTTAAAAATTAAAAAGAATTCCAAGAAATGAAGGATGAGTATTTTGAACTCTATTTTTAAGAATAAAGGGGATGCATAAGAGTGTGCAAAGTTAATTAGTCAGTCATTAAAATTTTGGGAGAGATTGAATATAAGTTAAGACGTGATACAGAAATTTCTCAAAATTAGTTTGGATTTATGTCGAGCTAGCCTGTTATGAATGCTATACATTTGTTGAGAGGTTTGATGGAGAAGTACATAGAGTAATGAATATCTACATATGATTTTTGTTAATTTAGAAAAATCTTATGATAAAGATCCAAGAGAAGTTACTTTAGATACTTCTAAAAAAGAAAGGTGTTGATATGAATTATATTCAAGTCATTAAAAATACGTCTACTAGAGTTGTTACTCAGTGTTCGAACAATAGAAGGATTGACCAAGCATTTTCTCATTTCCATTGGTCACATTTGATCCGGTATCTTTATTGCTTTAATTATGAATGTTCTTACTGGACATTTATAGGAGGATGTATCTTGGTGTATGCTTTTCGTTGATGATATTCTTCTTGTGGATAAGACTAGAGAAAGAGCTCTGGAAAAGCTTGAATTATGGAGGTCAGTTTTAGAGTCTAAAGAATTTCATTTGAGTGGACCTAAAACTAAATATATGGAATATAATTTTAGTAGTAGATCTAATGGCGGGGCTGCAACAATGTGTGATTAAATTATTAAATGAAATGACATTTTAGATTTCTCCGGTCCATTATTCGTAGCGATGGTGATATAGATAGGGATGTTATTAGTAAAATTCGAGTTGGATGGTTTAAGTGGAGGAATGCATCAGGAATATTGTGTCATAGAAAAGTACTGCTTAGACTTAAAAGAAAATTTTATAAGATGGTGGTGACACCTGCAATGTTTTATGGCGTAGAATTAGAATGTTGACCTATAAACCTATAAAAGAGAAGCATAAAACTATGTTTAAGTGTTGGGATGAAAATGCTTAGATGGATGAGTGGCTTTACAGTTAGAAACAAAATGTGAAACAAACATCCGTGAATTGGTGAAAGACAGGATTAGAGAAAGTTAACCTTGAATGGTCTGTTCATATTAAACGTCGACCATTTGACGACAGTTAGGAGAGTGGATGTTTTAGATTTACTTATATTAAGAAAGGTAGAGGTAAACCTAAAAGGACTTGGGTATGTAGTATAAAAAACGATCTTAATTTATTAGAATTAGATGAAAATATGACACTCAATAGGACAAAATGGAGAAAAAGGACTTCTAGGGCCTAACCCACTTAGTGGGATTAGGGCTTGTTGTTGTTGTTGTTGTATATAATAATTATTGAATAGAGCTAGATTGAAAAAGATTTTAGTAGAAAAGTACTTACTGGTTGACATGCTTTCATTACTAATTTATATGATAATAATGGAGGGATATGGTAACAGTTGAGGTGTAGTTGGGATACGCTAGCCATCCTATTCATTTTGAAAGAAGTTTTTTTTATTTAATCCCCTCCATCCACAGTGGATTGAATGACTAGGATTGAGATTCCCAAATGCCTCCCTACAGGTACCATGATAATTATAGAGGGGGTTTGCACCCTGGTTCATGACATTTATAATTTTGTATAGTCAACTTTAAAATAAAATTGGGTTCAAGGGGATAAGAAAATTGTAATTGATGCAATTTGAACCTTTTGAATATTACCTTGACTCTGTTATCTAATGTCTCCTAGAAGGTCTTTTTTTCATTGACCATGCTGTTGTCGTTGGTAAATAATATGGATTCTTCTTTTCCATCTTTCCTTCAGGCTAACTAATGTTAAATATAATTATTTTTCCCTTATGAAATCTTTGGCCTTTGGCATTGTATTTGCTTGCTAAACTTGTTAGTATTACTCTGCACTTAAATGTTTCTTTTATGGTTAGATTGATTCCATTATGATTCTGAGTTCACATGTTTGAGTCACTAAAACGGCCTCTCAATAATGCAGCAATAAGGTTGCATGATCAAGCTGCCCCTAGACGCTAATGCATATGATTCTTTTGATAAAATTTGAAATTTTGATTTTGTTCTCTGCTAACTATTTATGAGTTTAATTAGACGGTTTGCTCACTAATGGACCATTGCTGATGGCCTCAGCAGGAGAAAAAAACCAGGTAATTAGCAAAAAAATTTTCATGAGCAGTTTTCTCATTTTTAAAAATTGAGATTCAACACATTAAAATTTTTTTTTAAAAAGCAGAGAGTTACTCAGGTCGCATCACATTACAACTTATTGTGACTTGGTTTTCTGGCGAAACTTTCTAGCAGTTACATATCTAAACCTTGTGTAGGTTGAACTTTGGGATTTCAATGAGGCTAGAAGGGTAATGTGCTTGCCACAGATGCCTAGCTCAGGTTTCATGGGAAACCCAGTAAAGCAGAGAGGTATGTCTATGCTTTTTTTTCAAAAAATAAGCTTCCATCTTTTTGCACTGTCTTATGAAATGGTCCACTGATCTTGGTGGAATTTGTTAGCTGCTAACTAGAATTAGATAAACTATGATTGTTCATGACTTCTTGTGGTAGTTGGACTTGGAAGAAATGCTTTTCATGAATTTCTATCTATATAAATTTAATTTTTAGAAAATCCACATTTTTTTACTCCATTTGTTTTGGATTGTATCGGTTTTGATAATTGCAGCTTGTCTTTGTGTTTCATTCCTAAATGTTGCCTTGATCGTTTTCCACTTCTGATGTTCTGAATAAACAAATTGTCATTTCTCTTGGAAGCATATGCATTCGAGGCTACTAATGTATATGAATTTAATGTTTAGTAAAATTCGCAACGGTGACTCCATACTCTATGAATTATATCTGTTTTAGTAATTGTAGCTGTTACTTAAAGCTCTTGCAGTGTTTCATACAGAAATTTTGCCTTGATATAATGTTCTGAATAAATTGATGTGTAACCTCCCATACTGTTGTTTTACAACATGTTCCTTAGGCTCAAATTTTTTTTTTTTTGTGTATCATGATGAATTGGTTATTGGTTAATTTTCTAGTAAACTCTTATATACTGCTGACACCTGCTTATTTAGTTATGTGCTGCAGGATTGTGTATGGCTGTACAGGCATTTCTTCCTTCTGAATCACAAGGCTTTTTGAATGTAATATCTGGGTGAGCTTTGTTTTGTTCTTTGTTATACAATTTGTTTTCATATTGTTGTTCTTGCTTGTAAAAAATACAGCCTGTCAAAGTAAACATTAACCGTGAAACTTGAACTTATGCTAATTGATGAATCAATAATAGCATTATTAATTCCAAAAAATGCCCCTAACATGTTTGCTAATCGTTACCAAGTAGAAAGTACCACACAAGCATCTTATAAACAATTCAGTGATCAGGTTAACTCGACTTAGATAACCAATCTTCTCCTGCCTTGAGCTTAATAAATCTTCTCCTACTTAAGACCCTTTTATGCTAAGAGTGGCTTAAAAGCCAGAGTCCCCTGGGAAATTACTAACTAATGTAAAGTAATCCATCACTTTGAATTTGAGCACATTCGTTTGTTGTTGAGTGCATATTTGTGGTTTTAATGGATACAAATATCATAGGCTAATGCTCTGTGATAGTCCATAAATATCAATAGGCGCTTCTAGTAGCTCAGTGATTTATGTGGTGGTTGCAACAACCACATTATAGATTTGCTTTAACTTTTGTGTTATGAGAATATTTCTATCACCATTCATGGAGGGCTCTTTGCCCTTTCTTTTTCTAAGGACAAACTTAAGGTGGTAACATCCTTTAAACACACAGGTCACGCCCCTTTTTCATCTTTGCTACGCCAAAGCATTTTGAAGGTGGCTAGCCTGCATCTCGCCTGCTTTTGTTGGTTGTTGCCTCTGTACTAAGGCTTGTCACTAGGCCCAGCATGACCTAGAGTTTGTCTCTTGCTCGCGGGCCATCTCAGTCTCAACATTCTTTCAGATTGCATTTGTCCTCCGGTTTCTCAATTCCTTTCGCTCGCACGTCTTGCCTTTTTGGTAAGACTTATTAATTGCCTTCGCTTGCTGCCTATGTGATCTCAGGTGTGCAGCTTCTTGGGCTGTTCTTGCTGAGCGCTTCCTTCCTTGCCAATGCCTCATGGTGTTGGCTAACATCTCTTACAGTATTCCTACTCCAGCAAGAATGTTGTTCCATTTACTCTATCACATCTTAAGATTTTTAGGCCTTCTTCTCCTTTTTCTTTCCCAAATTTGGTGAACATTTGTTGTTTCTCTCAGCTTCTTTGTAATGCTCCTCATTTCATCTCTTGTTGGTGCTTTGCCTAAGATTCAAAATTCCAAATTGGATCCATCTCTTTTGCCACCGATTTTTCAACTCTCTGCTACTTCCTACTGCTTATCACCCTTGCTCTTTCGTAGTGATTGAATAGATATTGATGAAAACTCTTCAGTGGTAGAACGTTCGATTGGACAACTCTTTCAAACACTGCGTTGCATTTTGCATTTGAGAGTAGCTTAAAGTGCCCAGTATGTAGAATCTAGGCTTAGTGAACAATCAGCATTTTATGTTCTTTATCAATCAGCATTTTATGCTCTTTATCTTGTTGGTGAGGAGTACAAGCCTGTGCTAAAAATGTACTCATATATTTTTCTTAATATTCTGCCCGTAGATATGAGGATGGAAGCATGCTTTTGTGGGACACTCGGAAACCAGATGCTCCACTATGCCATGTAAAACATCACTCTGAAGCTGGTGAAAATTCTCTCTCCAACTCGCCATACTATCTTTCCTAGCTGATTAGAAAGCACATATTTGTAAATACTGTAAATTATGCATTTTCATCCATTCTGGACTAGCATTCTGAGAATGTTTCTCCGTTTACAGTTTTAAGCGTGACAGTTGACGACTCCTGCCATGGCGGCATATCTGGATCAGCAGATAACAAAATTTTAATGTTTAAACTGGACCATAGAACGGTAAATTCTGTGGCATTCAGAAAACCACTATTCTGGTGTTTTGCATGTCCAGCCGAACATGCTGCAATACTTCTATTTTCCAAATGTTTGTTCTTATTGGATGTTTCTAATCCTCTTTCTTCAAAGAATGACTCATCATTTGGTTGCTTTTTTTTTTATCTGCTGTCTGAACTGATAGGCAGATGAAATTAATGTATTTTGGTAGGCATTCTTTTAATCTTTGCACCACATGGACAGAACCACATAGGATGTTTTTGGGTTTTTTACATCAAATTTTACTAGCGATATGCCTTAAAATATGGCCAAGTTATGAGGAGTGTATTAATTTTGTATTTTTGTCGATGGAGTGTGGAAAAAAATGAAAAGGACTGTAAATGCCTCTAAAATAGGCATTTTAAGTAGAACACCCTGAAAATGGGCACTCATAAAACACCCTCAAAGGGGGCTGTTTTTTCACACATTTTTCGCATCCATGTTTTTTGCATGGGGAAGGAATGTGATCATTGCACATGAAACACCTACTTAGAGGCGTTTAGTTTTGTATTTTCTTAGATGGAACACAAAAAAAAAAATAAAAAGGAGCATAAACTTCCATAAGGTAGGCGTTTTAGGTAAAATGCTCAGAGAGGGGGCACTTCATAAAACACCCTGAGAGGGGGCATTTTGTTTACATCACCTTAAATACCGTTTTTAGTTCGTTTCATCTTAAATCTGGTATTTTATTTAAGTTAATTTAATTAACATAATGTTAATTATTTTAATTGATTAATAATTAATAAATTTATTATAAATTAATTATAAATATATAAATTTGATATGTAACTATTTTATAAGTAACTAAGAAAATTAAATTTTATATTATAGCTAAAAAAATTTATTATTTATTATAAATTATTTATTAAATTTGATATGTAACTATTTTAATTTAATTTAATTATACTTGTTATTGATATCATTTGTATGTAATATTATTTATTAACATACTAAATTTATATTTTAATAAAAAAGCTTAGTTTAAATATTAACATACAATATGCGTGTGAATAAATATGAATTTACCATGAATAAACATAATTCACAATATTTTTTATAATATATAAATGCTTAAAAAAATTGTCCGTATAAATTATGATCATTTTCTCCGTTACGGTGGAATAGTGCACAATTCAAATGTATATCTAAGTGGTGGTTGAATCAGTTGATGTCGCAATTGATGCTTTTGAAATTGTGTGTCAACATTCTCTTCTTTAGTTGCATCATTTGAAGCTTGATGCGGCATACGGTAGCTTTTTAATTTATTTGAACTAGTGATGTATAAATCAGAGGTATACCCAAATCTAGGTTTATATCAAATATCTAAGGTGCAAATATAGGTGCAGACACGTGCATGCTCTGAAAATTTTCAAGGGAGATCTTTGTGTTCCAGCAGTTGAAGATCTCCTTGGAGAGTCGGTTGTTGATTATCTTGGAGCAGTAGATGTTGACCGACGTGACATATCGGAAGTTGATGTACGGGGGCCTTACGGTCTTTACATCTATTCTATGAGATAACCCCTCCTCAAAATCATGTCCACATGGTCGGTCGAATGCATTATAATCAATAGGGTGTCGAATGCACTATAATCAATATGAATTGATAGACTCAAATAAAGTCAATATATTAAACATTTTTTTTTAAATCTCATGTTTCTGTGCACTTGTGTCAAATTAACTAAAGATAAACTTGATTCACATTTTATTTAGACATCATATTTAAATGTCATTATGGTGTTGCATTATATATGCTTTGACAGTATAGATTTTTGAACTGCCCGCGTTTCACTTATCAGTTGGAAGCGTGTTGGGTGACTCCTTCCAAATCGCGTGATGCAACAATTTGCTAGCATGCAGTTCATAATTGTTGACTCTATAGAACAATGTTTGAAGAGATTTGACGGGCAAGACAAATTAGAAGTTGACTGAATGCACTATCACCGCGATGACATTGAGATCTCGTAGGGCATATATAGTACCATTGAACCCATCATAAGGAAATGATTGTTCATAACTGACTATTTATTTGTAGGGATATATATCTTGGGTATCACTCTATTTAGTAAGCCACCTACTCAACAACCTGATACTTATTACCCCCATTCACTAGGAGATATAATAGTGGTATGTGTTACAAATACAGTTTATATCGACTAGTAATTTCTTCCATCATGATACATAATAACAGATTACAGTTTTAACTTACACAAGTGGACAACTTCATTCATAGCAAATGATGCATAAATATTTAGATGGGATTGTGGTGGGAGTGTTTGTTTCAAGAAACAATGATTTGATGAGATCTTAGAATTAGAATTATCACATAGAGCAGAGCAATCAATTCATATTAATTATAGTGTATTCAACCGACCAAGTTAACATGATTTTGGGGCGGGGTTGTCTCATAGAATAAATGTTAGACCGCAAGGTGAACTTCTGATGCTCCTTGTCGTTCAACATCTACTGTTTCAAGATAATAAAAGTTGATGCTCCAAGGAGATCTTCAACTACCAGAACACAAAAATCTCTTTTAGATGAGCTGCATGATCAATCATATGTAGGACCATCTACATATATTGATCAATCAACATTTGTAGGACACTCAAGCTATACAGGACCGTCGACATTTGAGGTTACATATGACTTCTAGCGGACAACTTCTGCGAGCGAAGACTTGGATTTAAATTTTCACAAAATGCCCGCGTCTGCACCTATGTTCGTAGCTCGGATATTTGATATAGGCCTAGATTTGGGTACCTATCTGATTTATACCTCACATGTTCCGATGAATGAAAAAAACTATTGAATGCCACAACAAGCTTCAAACAATACAACTGAAGAAGAGAGGATGTTGATACAAAATTTCAATAACACCAGTTGCGACATCAATCAGTTCGATCGCCGCTTAGATATACTCTTATGCTTAGGCATCATTCCACCGCGACGAAGAAGAGAATCATAGTTTGTATGAGTAATTTTTTTTAGCATTTATCCATTGTAAGAAATATTATGAATTTTATTTATTCTTAGTTAGGTCATATTTTTTCACACATATTGTGTGCTAGTATTTAAATTTAAGCTTGTTTATTAAACATGTAAATTTAATATAATAATAAATAATATAAATTAAATTAAATATTAAAATTTTTATTTATAATTATGCTAATAAAAAATTAATTATTTACTAAAAGAATTAATCGATAGTAATAGTTTTACATTAATTAATTATTATTTAATTAATAATTACACTAATTAATACTTAATTGAAATTTAATAAAATTAGTTAAATGTAATATACAATTTAATTTTGTTTGTTAATTATAAAATAGTTATATATCAAATTTATATATTTATAATTAACTTACAATACATTTATTATTTATTAATCAATTAAAATAATTAAAATTACCTTTATTAAAACTAACTTAATTAAAACTTTAGATTTATGACGAAACGGACAAAAATGGGATGCAAGGTGTTGTGAGCAAAACGCCCTGTTTGAGCTTGTTTTATGAAACAACCCCTCTCGGTTTTTTTTACCTAAAACACCTATTTTAGGGGCATTTATGCTTCTTTGTAGTTTTTTTTTCCCCACACTCTATCTATGAAAATACAAAACTAATACACTCCTTATAATTTGCCCCTAAAATAATTGAGATAATTTCATGACTTCATACCAGTCTTTAAAGTTGTTGTGGTTATTACCTCATACAGGAGCTCTACAAGTATCGGTAGTTTTTACATTAATTGTATAATTGGAGTGCTTCGCTTTTTTGTTTATGTTAGGGTAGTTGTTCTGTAAAGAAAGAAATAGCTCTGGACCGAGCTGGAATATCAGGTACCTCTGTTCGAACAGATTGCAAAATTGCAGCAGCAGCTGGATGGGATCACCGGTTAGTTAAATCTGCCTGTAGTTTTAAATTATGGTGCATCCTTCTTTTTTTTTTGCTGAGGGGATACAGCTTGATATGCCTGTAAACTATAGATATTGCATCCTTAAATAGGGAGTGATTGTGATGTAGGAAGGAGAGGAGAAAAAATGTTGAAGGGGTTGATTTCCTGACATCAGCAGGGGATTCCTCAGCTTTACACCTAGCTTTTTTGAATCAGTTGATGTAATAGAGCCTTACATTTTATTCTTTTCCACGAGTCATTCAAAATTTTGATGAAAAAAAAAAGAAATTATACTAGTTTTTAGTTGGTCAGCTTTTTGCTAGATTGAATCAGTTTTATTTCAAGTTATTTACAATTTGTGCGATTCTCGGGTTAGTTTCAAGCATAATATGAGCCCCATCACTTTTACCTTCTACTTCTTAGACGCTAATTTTATCTTGCTAATCAATTGATGCGTTTTCTACAATCTGTTATACATATCAAACCACCTAAATCCTTTAATTGCTTTATCTTCGATGTATTTTACTTCAACTATCCTAGGCCCACGTGAGAAAATTTGAGGGCTGTTATTAGGTTGACAACTAATCGTAAAATTTGTGCAAAATACTCTAATTTAAATATATAAATTATCAATGCCCACTTAATATTGTCTCAGACTTCAACAACCCCACCAAAAAAATTAGGATCATCAAATCATATCATTGAAAAGATCTTACATAAATATTAGAAGTATCTTATCATAAAATTGAAATAATGCTTTGAGGAAGTTTTAATGCATTCCATTTGTGACTGAGTGAGCTTCAATGTTCTTGAAATCGCATTTGCTAATAATTTTAATAATGTTAAAGAAAATTTATGATTTTGATCTTATATTTGAGTCTTATGTATGAGTAGAAATTGTGCATGTATCTTTATATATATATATATATATATCTGTGTGTGTGTGTGTGTTAACTTTAATGATGTTCCTGTTAGTTTTCTTTTATCAAATTTCCAACTCTGTTGTGGTAATATTATGCAGGCCTTTCTGATTAGCAATAAATTGTCTTGATGCATAGGACAGGTGTAACTAATATTTGCATCGATGCATAGGGCAGGTGTAATTAGTATTTGCGTGCATGCATTGAGCTGTTAACATGATAGATTTTGATATGCCTTGTTCACTAAATATAATGTCTATTTATAGGCGTATATGATGAATATGCTATAAAATAAATAAATGAGAAAATAACCACAATTAAGAGGGAATATATGTGTATTCCTCTTAATCAGATATATTTTCTTTTTATAAAATTTTTCTAATATTATTCTCCTAACATATGTCATATGTAATTGCTAGCTCCACCTTATTTGATAAGAGAGAAAATGATAGGTGGGCCAGATCTTTGGTAAAGATATTCACCACATCTTTTGAATTACAATCTTCTTGGAAAACACAATATTTCATGTGAAATGACAAGCAGCATTGACAAATTCAATTTTTTCATAAAAAAACAAGATTATTTGCAGTATTGATGGCAACACAGTCGACCTAATATAGTGTCAAATGTTGAAACAATTAAATATAGGGTGTAGTTTGATAACAATAAAATAAATTAACCTGTTGACAAATCTTGATATTGAATGGGTCATCTGATAGCTCTTTGTTATTAAAGGTAGTCCAAGTTTGCATAGGAGTGTGAATGACCTTGTCACCCAAGTAGACTAATTTCTTAAAGTTCAATAACATACTCTTGATTGCGATAGTGATAACCCTTTTTCTGCAATTAAGTTCAAATCCAAGGAAATAGTTGGATTGTAACAGCTATTTAATGATAAATTACTTTTGTGGACAGCATTTTACTTTCAAGCTGTTGTTATGATTACTTGAATGATATCTCATCAACTTAAAAATAAACAATAAGAATGACAAAGCCAAAATTAGTATATAGAGCAAAGATAGAATAATCAGTGCTACTAGGACAATGACCAATATTATTAAGGATCTTACAAAGATTTTAACAAATTTGGCTCACTGACTCTATTTAGAAGTGTATAGCTTTTTTGAAAATGTATATAGATCTCCCATTATGCAACATTCTTAGGTGGCTGTTCCATGTCAATGGCCTTCTAAAGATTGTCTTAAATGAATACTTTACTTGTATCCATTTGTAATAAATTCTAGCTTTGATTGATGGCAGTGTAGAAGAGATTTCGAACATGTTAAGCCTGATAATGTAATGGAGAATAAAGTCAAAATTATGCCAGACAATTGGGGAGGATCTATTCAAACAGTCTATAGACATTAGTGAATCCTTTAACAACCGGTTGAGATTTACATTTATTGATACAACAATTATGATGAAATTCGATTGTGAAGATCCATTGACATACAATTAGTTTAAACTTAGATGTGGGAGTGGCCAAATATAATGTATGACAATTGAGTATAGAACTCATCTCATGATCGCTGTCCTTTTAGAGGGATTTTTACAAGCCTCCTTGATGAGCCCGTGGAATAAATATTTTGGAGTGAGATAAGCTATATGTGCGAAAAGAAGAATATAATGATTGAATTCATAGAAGATTTATTAAGATGAGAAATGCATTGTCTTCTGCTTTTTCTTGGGGAAATTGATAAGCGGAGATATGAACATTCAATAGCAGGTGTATGCTCAACCAAATTCAACAATTTGGATGGGGGTTCTGTTGGAAGTAGTGTTGTTGATAGTAAACTTGTATTGGGTAGATGTAGGAATATGAGCTTTTGAAGTTATATGGAGAAGGGTGATGATGTATTGGAGGAGGGACAAAAAAATATGAATGCATTCATGAAATCTAACTTCAATTAAAGTTTATAAACCTGGGCAAGGGGATCTAATTTAGATATCCTTTGTGTGTGTATGGATGGATACATGAGAAATATACATTGAATAACACAGGTGAGAGCTATTAGTTAAATGAAAGTATGAATGAAGTAGACAACCAAATATCTGTGGTGTTTGAGAAAATAGAAATTGTTGAGGATTTCTAGGAGAATAGGTGATGAGTTATCAAAGAGTGGGTTAAGAACCAAATTGATGAGATAACAAGCAATCAAAATTTCATCATCCTAAAATTGCAAGTTTCATTCATGTGGACTATTTTAGTTTAAACTATATAAGTAGATGACACTTCTTGCATTCTCCCACACAATTCTATTAAGATGTAATATGATAGGAGGTTTGATGAATAATATCATTGTTAGACCAAAAGTCTAAAATTATTTCTAAATAAATTTTAGAGCATTGTGAGTGTGCAAGGGTTTGATTAAAGGAAAATGTTGCTTTTATTTGCTTACAAAATTTTAAAGTATATAGAAGATTTTAGATTGACATTTGATTAAGTAGTTTTAAGTAACCCTAGAATAATCATCAATAAAATGTGACAAATTATTTGAATGCCAGTAATAGTTCAACTAAGGCCCCTAATGTATGTATGAGCAGGATCAAAAGATTGTCTTTAGAACTATTAGGAGTGGAAGAAAGAACATATGATGTTTACTTAATTTGTAGGTTGAACATTCAAACTTGAAGTGACAATGAGACAAACATAATCCAAGTGACGGGCAAGGCAAAACAACATTAGTGGTAAACTAGTACAAGCCACTAGCTTCAACACCTCTAACAATCATATTCATTTAGTTGAGATCCTAAACGGTACATTGAGAGTGATAAAATGTTACTAAACAACTGCAAGTTTTGGCAAGACAAATGAATAAATAATTAATTGACTTGAAATATGGGAACTTAAAAATTTTTGGAAGAGGCAAACATTTTGAGGGATGTATGCCACCCTTTCTAGAATTAAGAGGAGGGGAACCATAAACAATAATCGTATGGAGAGAGATGAAATGTGAAGTGCTACAAAAATGATGACAATTATCTGTCATATAAGAAGATAAATGAATCTAAAATACATGATTTTGTAGTAGAGATTGTTGTGGTGGATCTAAAGGAAGTGAAAACGTGAGAGGTAGAAAAATATTTTTGTGACTGTTGAAAAATCCATTAATTTTTTTTTTGAGAAAGTGTAACTAATCCAGAAGAGGAGGTACTAATCAATCTATTGTTAAAACAAACTAAGCAGTGGAGGGATAATCAAAATTTTCCCAACAAAATTTATAGGGATATTTAGTGTAGTTGCAATGTGTATAAGGGGAAAATGTATTTCTTTCACAACTCCCTCAATTGACATTTCTATCTTTGGAGCAGCAATCAAAGTTTATTGATCAGAGTTTGAGAGTTCAGTTATATGAAGATCTCATGAGAGAGCTCTGTCACAATGTTAGCACCGTGCTGTCCTCAATTAATTGAGATTGCATATCTTATTAGAAGGGTGAAGATTATATATAAATTCGGTAATAAGAAATTTTTTGTTTTTCCTTTCTAACCATAGATTTAGTGGTTATGAGGAGGTATTATAATACTTATCCCATTTGCCTCGTACTCAGTTTTTTGATATTGAAGTAGCAAATCTGTGTTTCCTTCCAGCTTATGCTTTTTTGATGAAAGAGAAGACAACATAGCTAGCTGCGAACAAACAATTTGATCTTAATATTTTTATTTGCCATTTTCCTTTATTTCTGTGCATGATCATTTATTAATGTAGTTTCCTTTTCTGTATGTTAGAGTTCGAGTTTATAACTATCGCAAAGGGAGCCCTCTTGCAGTATTAAAGTATCACAGTGCTTCGGTATACATTATGTTTTTTTTTTTTTTTTAATGTTTCTTTTACTGTTTGACAAAGAGCGATTGGTTCATTATTTAGTAATTTGAAACAATTTTAAAGAATTGAATCATTGCCTGGTTATCACGTTGATTAAAGAACTTAGTAGTAATTATTTGTCGTCATTGGATCTAAATTTATATTTAAATCTTCATGTTGATGGATATCAAAATACATTTGTTGACACGGTTTTCGTTTGTCATTGTAGTGTAATGCGGTTTCGTTCTCGCCTGACTCGAAGCTTATGGTTTCTTGTTCGGAAGACTCAGCAGCACTCTGGGAGTTGTATCCACCACATGCCTAACATTTACATTTAATCACTGTGCAAGTAAGTTGAGGTAATGTATTTACATCATGTATGGTCTATCACACCTGTATAAAGTATTCAATTGTTCCAATGTTTTTATTTTTCCTGTTAGCTTCAATCCATCTTTATAATCCGATCTCGCTCTCTTTACACATTTAATTGAAGAAACTTTTATTGGAAGGTTTCTCTTCAGGGTCATTTTCAATCCAAACTCAATCTAGAAAAATTTACTCTCAGTTTCTGATTTATAAATTGTTGTTGATCCAATGGGGTTCGCTTAGGTGGAACTAATGTACGTTCCTGTAAACCAACTATTGTAGTTGTTGCAGTTATTAATTCTATCATGTGTCATCCAATTCATTTGTCAAATTTTCAAATCACCATGATTTTGATGGATTTACTACCTGCCATCCAAAATGAATGAATTGGATGACTTAGATTACAGCTGTGCATCTTGCAATCACTGTGATAATTGAAGAATATTCCTGCTTGAATTAGCTGACAATAAACCAGCTTGAACTAACCTTAAAATTATCTAAGTAGAGGCTACATTTATCTTATTCAAAATTAACCTCTTTATGTGGATGTAATTTCAATTTTCATTTTTATTCAAGCTGAGTGCTGATTTTTAATGCTTTGATTGGAATTATGTGTTGGCTGGGCCATGCTTGGACTGATATTTTTCCTTTAGCTTGGCATAGTTGGTGACCTTGTATAGAAATATGTAAGGTTTAAATTAGATTTGGTCTGTTGTTGGTCTAGTTTAAAGAGCTCAACTTTCAAATACCTTTCCAAATTACTATCCCACATGGAAATGATAGCGCATAACCAAATTGGAAAACATAGGCTTCCTTCTGCAGCTAGCCACAAAGTCCTAGCGTTGCTGCAATGCAAAGGAGGATGAAAACAATTAAAAGATGCATTATATTGTTTATGGACTAAATTTTAATATAGTATTGTACGTATGCATTGTAAAATAATAATAATAAAACGTGTCATTTTTACGGTCGTATTAGTAAAAAAGAAGTTGATGAAGCTTTAAAGAAAACCAATGGTGGAAAGTCTGTAGGACCTAATGATATCCCAATTGAAGTGTGGAAATTTTAGGAGATTTGGGAGTTTCTTAGCTTACAAAACTCTTTAATATTATTTTAAAAACTAAAAAGACGCCTGAGGAGTGGAGGGAGAGTAATTTGGTCCCCATTTTTAAGAATAAAAGGGATGCACAAGAGTGTTCAAATTATAGAGGAATTAAGTCGATGTGCCATGCTTTAAAATTATGGGAGAGGGTAATTGAACATAGGCTAAGACGTATTACAAAGATTTCTCATAATTAATTTGGATTTATGTCGGGCAGGTCTACTATGGAGGCTATACATTTATTGAGAGGTTTGATGGAGAAGTTCAGAGTTAATAAGGAAGATCTACATTTGATTTTTATTGATTTAGAAAAAGCTTACTATAAGGTTCCAAGAGATATCCTTTGGAGAGTCCTTTAGAAGAAAGGTGTTGATATGACTTATATTCAAGTCATGAAATATATGTATACTAGAGTTGTTACTTATGTGCGAACATGAGGAGGATTGACCACATATTATCTTATTTTTGTTGGTTTACATCAGGTATCAACTTTAAGCCCTTATCTTTTTGCTTTAGTTATGGATGATCTTACTGGACATTTGCAGGAAGATGTATCTTGGTATGCTTTTTGCTGGTGATATCCTTCTCGTGGATAAGATGAGAGAAAAAACCCAAGAAAAAATTGAATTATGGAGGTTTACATTGAAGTCTAAAGGTCTTCGTTTGAGTAGAACTGAAACTCAATACATTGATTGTAATTTTAGTAGTATTAGCTCTAGTGACAGAAGTGTAATTTTGGGTGATTAAATTATTAAAAGATGTGAACAATTTAGATATCTCGGGTCTATTGTTCAAAGCGACAGTGATATAGATGGGGATGTTATTAGTCGAATTCAAGTTGGTTGGTTGAAGTGGAGGAATGCTTTGGGCCTATTGTGTGATAAAAAGTACCGCTTAGACTGAAAGGAAAATTTTATAAGATGGTGGTGAGACCTGCAATGCTCTACGGCGCGGATTGTTGGCCTTTAAAAGAGAAGCATAATACTAAGTTAAATGTTGCCGAATGAGAAATGATTAGGTGGATGAGTGGCTTTTCACTTAGAGACAAAAGACGAAATGAATATATCCGTGATAGCCGTGATAGGGTTGGTAGGGTTGGTGTTGCTCCAGTGACTGATAAAATTGGAGAGAGCCGTCTTAGATGGTCTGGTCACATTAAACGTCAACCATCTGATGATCCGATTTGGAGAGTAGATGTTTTAGATTCGACTTATGTTAAGAATGACAGAGGTGGAACTAGGAAGACTTGTGCTTATTGTCTAAAAAATGATCTTAATTTTTTAGAATTAAATGAAAATTTGACACTAAATAGGATGCAATGGAGAAAAAGGATTCATGTAGCCGTGGGATTAAGGCTTTGTTGTTGTTATTGTTGTTGTGATGTGCGTAGGCATTTTAGGCTAAATATGAATATTTGTGAAGCAATAATTTTAAGGAGAGTTGTGATAATGACTATAGTTTTTAAGTTGTGTTCATAGTATAATGATATATGTGTGTCTTTATTTGCAAGAGAAGGAAAAAATAAAGAAAAATACATAAAGTAGGACATCCTGAATCATCAAGAAAGATACTAATAATAATAAATAGTGCTACTTTCTACCATAAACTCACAAATTATAATTCATGTAAAATAACACTTTCTTGCAAACTCAAGGTGGCATAGAAGACGCCTACTTGAGACATGCGATGTTGAGATCATTAATTGAGGATTTTGAAGCTATCAATTATAGTAAAAAGTGAACAATAGATTATAGTCTTCCTGAGAGAGCAGCCAATCTAAAAGGGCGAAGTACCAGAGGAGGCTTGCTTGGACAAATGGTACAAGTATGCCAAGCAGTCGAGGGGTGTTCAAATTTCTCGTAGGAATGTTAAAGAGAATGATTGGTGTCAGTAAAATGAATGAAAACTAGAAATATATTATAGTTACAACTGCATTTGCCACTAAAATGACCACCGCAGCCAAAACTCCCCCAACCATTCCTTCAACCAATGACCCAATCTGATTAGTGAAGACTGGGAGGCAGGGGAGCAAAGAGCTTTGTGTTGCAAATAACCAAAGAGAGATTAGCCGCCATTGGAAATCTCATTTTGTTGAAGAGAAAATATTTCAGAATAGAGTGTACTCATGTGATATATTACTTTCTTAAAAATATATTGTGCAATAAAAAATTTAAAACTTTTTGGCTGAATTATAGAACATAACAGTTGAGGCAATGGATTGTTGATGAATATTGAGTACCTAGGTGTGAACAATATAGTCAGACACTTGTGGCATTGAACATTTGTTGATGTCATTTCTATCTTGAGGAAATGTTTGATGATATTGGAGTGCTTTGTGAATACTCATTCAGATAACGAAGATAAAATATTTCAAAATAAATATAGACAAACAAGATATTACTTTTTCATATGGAACAAAAAAAATCTACATCTTTTTGGTAGAATCTTGAAACATGGTAAATAAGATATTGGATGATTCATATCTATTAAGTAATCAGAAAAGAACATTGTCAGATACTTTACACTTTGTGAATTTGATATGGTATTCCTGTTGTTATTTTACTAATAACATCCCCATTTATATTACCATCACTTTGAAAAATATACCTGAGATATCTTATTCACTCCTTTTAATCACTTGATCACCAATTGTTGCAACCCCACCACTAGATCTACTACTAAACTTCTCATGTATTCAATTTTAGATCATCTCAAACAAAAGTCTTTAGATTCTAAAGTTGACCTCCGTAAATCAAGTTTTTCTTGAACTGTCTCCCTAGTTTTATCCACAATAAGGATATCAACAACAAATTACATACATCAAGGTACATCCTGCTGTAAATGTCCCATAAGATCATCTATTACTAAAGCAAAAAGACATGGGCTTAAAGTCGATCCTTGATGTAAATCAACTAAAATAAGAAAATACTTGGTCAATCCTCCTTGTGTTCGAACACAAGTAACAACTCTAGTATACATATTTTTAATGACTTGAATATATGCAATATCAACACCCTTCTTTTCTATAAATCTCCAAAGGATTTTTTTTAAACCCTGATCATAATTTTTTTATAAATAAAAAATAATAATATGTAGACCATTGCCTATACCATAACTAGAACTCATGGTCGACTCTCTCTCTACACTTCTCCATCAAACCTCAAACCTCTCAATAAATATATAGCTACCATAGTAGCCTTGCCCATCATGAATCCAAACTAATTTTGAGAAATTTTGTGTCACATCGTAACCTATGCTCAATTATTCTCTCATAACTTTAGTATATCATACATTAACTTAATTCGTCTATAATTTGCACACTTTTATGCGTCCCCTTTATTCTTAAATATAAAAATCAATACTCCTACACTAATCATGCATCTTTTTAGTGTTTAATATAATATTAAAATGTTTAACAAGACATCATGAATTATTCTAGCTACCATTTTAGGATATCAATTAATATTGAAAGCTAAGGGAAAGCCAATGTGATTCACAAAATCATTAACTTCATTGATATCGGCAAGTGTTAACCAGCTTCATTTCAATCAACATATGAATTTAGTCTGCCGAGCCGTTGTTCTGGACATATTTCTCAACCTCTAAATCAACCAAAAAATGAGACAAGAATACTAAAACTATAACTCTTAAAATTATGTTTAAAAACATTATGTATTTCAGTCTAATAAATGAATATCATCAATGCATTCATAATTAAAAAAAAAAAATAGCAATCTAATTCCCCATATTCCTTTCATCCTCCCTAAGAATAAAGAAAGGAAAAGTGAATCCAATATCCTTACAAAAATAACACTCGGAAACAAGCAAAATCCCTGTGGCCTGCATCACTTTAAAGAAGATGGAGAGACCTATAGGGATAGCCTTATTCGAAATTTGTTCAGGATATTAATACCTTTGGCTTGTCTAATACTTAGAAGTGTTGTAAATAAAGAAATTTTATGCCTTCGCTCTGAAAAATGTATTATCTTTATAATTACAAACTTAAAAATGCAGAGATGATATTATCAATTCCACCTTTAGAAAAAGCCTTATTTTTTATTAGGAAGATTTACATACATACACCACTCAATTCTTATTCATTTACATATCTAACACCTAAGCTTCAATTTATATATATATTCAATCATCTTACCAACTTATTGGGTTGCTCATTCTCTAGAATTAGAGGCAGAGGAAAGACCAAATTGGATCGCTCTCTAGCCACCTGATATTTTGTATTTCGGCACTTTTAGGCTTTTTCTTCAAGTCTCTAATGTATTTTTCTGTATTTTCTAGTTTTGAAACCACTTGTGGTTTTTGTATAAGCAAGGTGTTATTCTTGGGTTCTCCCACCCACACATTATATCTGGAATTTTCTTTCTAGTTAATATATTAGCCTTCTTGGGCTTAATATATATATATCTCACCTATGAATGAGGTGAATTTAACTTTTTAGTTAGAATTGTGATATTTTTGATGTGATGTGAAGTATTTGAGCAGTATGAATGTAAAAATTAAAGTTTATATGTCGGATATATAAATACATATGAATTATATAGCGTGTGGGAGCAGGTAAAAGGCAGCTGATTAACTGCACTTTAGCATCTATAATAGAGAAAGCAACAGCTGTTTCTTTTTCTAACAAACAGTTTGGGGTCCAAATCAATTTTCCAACTCAGTCGTAAATCTTTTTTATGCTACTTTGAAAGCCGTTTTACAGTTACCTCCTCTCCTCCTATCAAATTTCCATTTCTTAAAAGCTCGTATGTTTTCTAGTATATTTATACAAATGAATATAACTTTACATAGAAATGTGTTGCTGAACTAGTTATCTCTTGGTAGCATTCTTCGTTATTATGTGAGTTGCGTAGTTTCCTGCATGTTATAGAAATTTAATTTTGCACGTCTTGCCAGCCATCAAGTTAGACGGTTTCACGTGTAGTCTTATTCAATCCCCGTCAGCGAAATTTTTTTTATTATTATTTTTTTTATTTTCTTCCTGCCACTATGAGAAATTACTTGCAGCTGATGAATTTCTTTTACAACCTTCATATTCTTTCTAGGGCTGTTAAGGCGGCTCGTTGTTCGTGAACAGCTTTTGTTCGACTCATTCGTTAGGCTTAACAAGCCGAACACGAGTAAATATTTGTTCGCTCGTGTTCCACTCAAATTGGCTTGAAAAGAAATAAATAAATTAATTAATAAATAAAAATGTAAATATACTTAATATTTTGCGGTGTTATTTCGCCGTGTAACCGCGAAATAACACCCAAGTAATACCCTGTTGTGTTATCGGTATTATTCCTCCTTCCGTGATGTCATTGGTGTTATTCCGCGATGTAACACAACGAAAACATTGATAACAACAGCAATACCGTGGAATAACACCGAGTAACTTTCCTGTGTTATCGGTATTATTCTTCCGTCCACGGTGTTATTCTACGGTGTTATTGGCGTTATCAGTGTTATTCTGCAATGTTATATCGTTGAATAACGCCAATAACATTGTGGAATAACAACTCGCGCTATTTGGGTGTTACTTAGGTGTTATTGCGGTGTTACATAGGTGTTATCGTTGTGTTATCGGTGTTATTCTGTCGTCCGTGGTATTATTGGTGCGATTCCACGACATTTTATATTCTACTGAGTCTATTTCGAGCCAAACACGAACAAATTGTTCACGAGTCATTTCGTGCACGAGCCAAATTGGAACTAGCCGAACACAAGCTGAGGCTCAATTCACTCAAGCTCGGCTCATTTCCAGCCCTATTTCTGTCTAAGAATTACTTATGAATGGATTTTAGTGTTTTTATTCGAATTATAAGTAATATTTCGAAACTACATGGTTATTATGTTGCTAATTTTTGTCTTCTATTTCTCTTTTTTCTATTAATAATAGTAATTAAACGACAGATTTAGACTTAAATTTGGCTTGAAATATCATCATTTCATATTCAAGTTTTATTTGAAATAATTTTAAATGTTTTGTAAGCTTGCTTTTACGTGTAGCTCATCACCCCACCTCTAAAGCATGCATTATTGAATTCTATTTTTATTGCAGGAAATTAGAAAAGGCGCCATTTATAATTCTTTGCGGGTTATATCTGTAATAAACTACAATTATTTCCTGGCGAAACTGTTGAGAATGATTGTTGCTGTTGTGACTTGTGATTGTTGGGCTCTGTTGTTTTAATTTTTTTTTAAATATCAGCCTGCATATTCACCTGTGAGACCAACATATCTAAACCTTGAAGTAATGGAGCGATTTTTCTGTCCGGAGTCCGGAAGTGCGGACAACGGTCGCGATGCAACGATACAGCAGAGGCCCGATCCTCTCCGTGGCATCGCGACTGTTGTCCGCACGTCCGGATTCCAGACAAAAAAATTTGGCGAAGTAATGCCATCATTCCCAAAGAGTAGTTGAAGAAAAGTCTTTCAAGTCATTAATTTGATGAAACATTGAATTTTATGCTACATATCATGGAGACAGTATTTTTGAAAATATATCATCGAAACATTGACTTTTGAAATTCATTTTTTGCATATTTATCAACAATTCTGAATTTGTACTAATATCTAAAATTTGAGCTATGATATGTTTGTAGCAAATTAGCCTAATTAATGCTGCAGTTGGTTGCTTGAAATCTAAATTATCTTAATTAATAATTATATTTTCTTAAGAATATTTTCTTATTAGCCTAATATTTATTTTTTTCTTACTAATAAACTATCATTTTCTATCTATATATATGCAATTAATAAAAAATACTTAAATATTCATATCAATCATATGTCATTTAAGTATGAATACTTGAGAGTCGTCCAACACGCTTGCATTGTATTTGCATTTTACACTCAACCAAAACGGGTGTTTTCAATATATTGAAACTTGGGTCATAGCCAGTGTCCATTTTTCGTCACATTAATGAAGATGAAACCTGTGCAATAAAACATTATCTAAATTGCATGATGCCAGATTATATCTCTAAGCGCAAATTAAGTCAATAGATAAAACAATACGATTAATTTGACATAACTTTTGATTTTTTGAAGGAAAAAAAAAATAGAATTATGCCTTTAAATTTCTAACACCTAAAGATATATATTTAAATTCATAATTATTCAGTATTTTGCCTTTAAAACATTAATGATAATAGTATTTTTAATGAGATGCCATAATTTTGAGTTATATGTAAAATTTAAGTGTTGGCTCATGTGTTACGTATGTGGATGACACTTTAGATTTAGAAAAAAAGTATTACATCTGGAGTCATGATGCAAAATTTGTATCAAAACTCAAATCATAGTGAGTCAAGTGTACAGTTTAATTTATCATGCATTAAACTATTTAGTTTTTTGTATTCAATGGGGCCAGTCTGTACATATGGTGCATTGTGATCGGACTCCAGATGTTATATTTTTTTCTAGTTTTAATGGTTGTTTGGTAGCCGGTTTTAAGCATGATTTATGCGTAGGTCCTTTCAAACGATGAAAAAAAAAAACATTAATACATCCTACAAATTCTTAAATCTCATTTTTGCTCCGTTTTGCCTTAAATTTGATATTTAATAAATCTCATCAGAAGTATTTACGGAATTTAAAGAAGCTAAAACGTGGGAGAAGATAAATCATATTAAACTCCTCAAAAAGCTTTTCAAACAATTTTCACAATTTAACCCCTCTAAAATTTAATAAATTCAAATTTATAAAATTTACTTAATTCTATTTAAACTACACCCCCTTGGTATCGTGAGTTGCTCCATCGTCAGCCCAAAAATGCAAAACCCGCTTTAAAACAACCTCTCTCTCTCTCTCTCTCTCTCTCTCCTCCTTCATGCAGCTTACACTATAACTAAAGCAATCCGAACCCCAATCCCGACCGAAAAAAATGAACCCCTCCACACTCCTCCTCATCTTCCTCTCCCTCTCCCACAACCTCGCCGCCGCCGCCGCCGCCGCTTCCCACCTCGCCGGAGGCCAATGGAATATTATTGAGCCGAGCATCGGCGTGTCGGCCATGCACATGCAGCTGCTTCACAACGACCGAGTCATCATCTTCGACCGGACTGATTTCGGCCGGTCCAACCTCTCTCTGCCCGCCGGAGGATGCCGAGACGACCCCAATGACATTGCTCTCAAGCACGACTGTACGGCGCACTCCGTCGAGTACGACGTCGCCGGAAACTCTTTCCGGCCGCTCAAGGTGCTCACAGACCCCTGGTGCTCCTCCGGCACCGTGGCTGAAGACGGCCGGTTGATCCAGACCGGAGGGTTTAATGATGGGGACCGGACCGTTCGGGTTTTTCAGCCGTGTGGTGATGGGGGGTGTGATTGGGTGGAGAAGCCAGCTGAGCTCGCCGTTAGACGATGGTACGCTGAGAAGTAGGGGTTTAAACATTTGCTCTTGTTTTGAGTTTGAGCTTAATTAATTAATCAATTAATTAATTAATCGAATTTAAAATTGAGTTCTAAACTAAATCTGCTCACTAGCCAGTCTATTTATTCTGAAAGAGAAAATAAATTATATTCAAGTTAGTGTTATAATAAAATAATAAATAAGTAGAATAATTGTGAAAATAACAAAATCACTTAATGTTGCATATTAAATATGATTTTTAAGCAATTTTAATAATTTAAATATGAAGTTAAATTTTAATTTATTTTAAGTATATTTCGTGTGTGTGTGTGAGTGCGTGTGCGTGTATATATATAATAAAAAGGAAATTGATGTTTGACAGATGCCCAAATAATAATTTCTCAGCCTTAATCTAAATTATATTGAGTGTTTTTTTCAAATTTTTCAAAATATTTTAGTATAAAGATTAAATTTTTATTTAAAGAAAGAAGGAAACAGGGGCATTTACATCCATACCACACAATTTTTATGTATCTTGCATATCTATCACCTAAACATTCATATTTACATGCATGACACTCACATCTTTAAAATCACATGAAAAATTAAAATATTTTAGTATAAAGATTAAATTTTTATTCAAAGAAAAAAAGAAAGCATGAGCATTTACATCCATACCCACACAATTCTCATGCATCTCTTCATATTTACATGCATACCATCTTTAAAATCACATAAAAAATACCATCATCACTTTAAAAATGAAATACATCTTATCCTGCATAGGCTGCATATGGTTTTATGACATCCAGGAGCTCAAATTTAAATATCAAACTTTAGATTTTAGCGGATAGATAATAAATGTGCGGTATATCTCAAAAATACACTTCAAACTAATCTCCCGCAGGTACGCCACAAGCCAAATCCTCCCCGACGGGCGCGCCATCATCGTCGGCGGCCGGCGTCAATACAACTACGAATTCTACCCAAAGTACTCCACCTCCCCCTCCTTCTTCTCCCTCCCTTTCCTCCTACAAACCTCCGATCCCGAAGAGAACAATCTTTACCCTTTCCTCCACCTCAACGTCGACGGAAACCTCTTCATCTTCTCCAACAACCGCGCCATTCTTCTGGACTACAAATCCAACAAAATCCTCCGATCTTACCCCTCCATCCCCGGCTCTCACCCCCGAAACTACCCCAGCTCCGCCTCCTCCGTCCTCCTCCCCTTAAACCCCTCCGCAACGGAAGCCCAAGTCCTCATCTGCGGCGGCGCTCCCAAGGGTTCCTATGTCCAGGCCTCCCGCAACGGCACGTTCCTCAAAGCCCTGAGCACGTGCGGGAGAATCAAGATCACCGATCCATCCCCGGCGTGGGAAATGGAGGAGATGCCTGCGGCGAGGGTGATGGGGGATATGATTCTCCTCCCCACCGGTTTCGATGTTCTGATCATCAACGGCGCGGGGGCGGGGACCGCCGGATGGGAGCTGGGCCGCGAACCGGTTCTCGGGCCTATTATTTACCGGCCCGAAATGCCGGCCGGGTCACGATTTGTGGTCCAGAGTGAATCGGTAGTCCCGCGGCTTTATCACTCCTCGGCCCTGCTGCTGCGCGACGGGCGGGTATTGGTGGGTGGGAGCAACCCGCACGTGAGGTATGAGTTCGCCGGCGTGCAGTACCCGACGGAGCTCAGCCTGGAGGCTTTCTCGCCGGAGTATCTGTTGCCGGCGGCGAGCAAATATCGCCCGGAAATAGAATGGGATGGGAGGGAGGGTTTTGAGGTGAGGTATGGGGAGGAGTTTGGGGTGAGGTTTAGGGTGGGGGAGTTGAAGGGGATGGGTGGGGTGAGGGTGACAATGGTGGCGCCGGCGTTTGCCACGCATTCGTTTTCGATGAATCAAAGATTGATTGTGTTGAAGAGTGGGGCGGCGATGAAGGGGGAGGGATATTATGAGGTGAGGGTGGAGGCGCCGGCGACGGGGAAGGTGGCGCCGCCGGGATTTTATATGGTGTTTGTGGTGAATGAATGGGTGCCGAGTGAGGGGGTGTGGGTTCATCTTGGGTCTTAAGTGGCCTTTGCTTGATGAGTTTTGTTCATTAGAGTGGTCTGGTAAATTATTTGTTGGGCGAATTGAGCTTCTTATATATAAACAAAACTAAATCTATATACAAAAATACCTCACATGTACTTATGGTATGGACCCCCTATTTATAAAGACGTGCCTCAGACTTATAAAATTACTAGTTTGTTCCTTTACCATTAACTTTTAGAAAGATTTTTTTTACGTAATTTACAAAGAAATTTGAATATAATAAGACTGAATGATTGATGTTGATTGAGGAGAAGCTCATTGACCGTTCGCCTGACTTTAACTCCATCGATATTTGACTTTAAACTCAATAATCTACCAATCGGCCTTAAGGGTGGTCGTCGTCCACTGGGAAATCCTCTGGCACGTTCTTACGATCGATCAATCCAAACACTTTCTTTGCCATCATTAATCCACTGATCTTTAACGGGAATGTCAAATGATTGAGTCATCTTTTTGAGCCATTTGTTCTACCTTGAGATTTGTGCAAACATACTTTTTGTATATAGATTTAGTTTTATGCTTCTCTTTCTTCTTGAAAACTGCAAAACACACAAGGACAAAGAAATCTATTTAAACATGTAAGAAGTAATTGAATGTCATTATTTTGCAATAATGAACTTTCTTAGATTTTTTTTTGTCTAAGTTGACAGTTTGAGTCTTCTCCTTTCTTTCTTACCTAGGAATTCACGTCTTTTCCTTACTGTACTCCTATTATGTTTGACGGATGAGGGTCATCTGCTAAAAGGGACGCCCTTTTAAAGGTCATGAGTGACATGCGAGCGAAATCCTAGAAACCATACCCGGGGCGCTGATGCTTGCCAATCATGGGGAAATGACGCGTCTATGTTTGGAACTTTCGATCGTTAGAAAGTCCCTCAGTACTCAACTTAAGGGTAGTCAAAATAACCTCTTCTAGCTAGGCGGTGAGTTTATGTATGAATGGCTTCATTGCTAGTGTGTCTCGGACGAAGCTGCAAGCAATCACTTAGTTAAGTTTTCTCTTTTTGATTGTAACCAAGGTTTTGGGGTGACGCCCTCCTCTTTTTGTACATAAATAACATAAAATATATTTTTATTTTTGGTAATATATGCTTTGCTTCGAGCAACATGTAATATCGTCATGGCTTTCTTGTCGGTTGTGTTTCGTCTTCCCCTATACTGCCCTTTCATGGATATATATGTAGTTGCGCGGTAATTGAGAGCCTTTGTTTTTTTCGCCTTTCTTTATGTTTCGTTACCTCTATCCTTTTCCTTTTCTCTCTTGGTTGAGTTTCTCAGGCTCCATGGTTTGAAACTTCTCTCAGGAATTGTTTGGCTCGATTCCTGCTATAGAAATTTCAGTCCTGTCTACAACGAATGTAGAGGAAGTCCATGATTGTTACGTTTTGGACCTTGTGATTCTTCTACGACCGACAACTATTCACAGGCGAAATATGAGTAGTTTTTCTCTTGACTTAGTTTTTTTACAAAGATTAATGTAAGATGGGTCTTTGACTATTGTTTTGTTAGAGTTGTGATCAATTTTCATTCAATATGGGATCATTCCTACTCAAGTTCTTTCTAACTCGATCGTCATCGTCACGACTTATGTACTTTTTATGTGGAAAACCCGTAAAGGGAAAAAATCAGGTGGTCTGACCCATATTTAAAAATTTACTATAAATTAACGATTACAGAAGTCTCTTGTCATAAACACAAAAGAGTTATTAGGTTTTCCAAGTTATAATATCGACTGACGGCTTCCGATCGGTGGTGGTTGACGGTGATTGGTGTTGATTAACGGTGGTCAACGGTCGAAGACGTTGGTGGTGGTTGATGGTGATAGTAGTGCTCGACGACGATCAGTGTTTGTCGAAGGCGGTCAGTAGTGGTCGACAATCATCGACAGTGGTTGTTGATGATCGATGGGTGTTGGCGACGATCAGAGGTGATTGACTACGGTTGGTGGTGGTTGATGGCGGAGAGCGACGATTGACGGTGACAGAGGTGGTGTTGGACTTCAGTTCTCTCTCAATCCTCCAAACCCCTCTCACGAGAAGGATGAGACTTTATTTATAGTGTTCTATGTGCAGTGAATACAGGAATATGAAGCACTTTGACCGGACGGTCCGGAGACTTCTTTCGATCGGACAGCATTTGATAGATATTTGAGATTGGATTTGTCTTGTTGAGATAGTCGATTAGATTAAAAGCTTACTAGATTTGACATTCATTTAATCTTTTAAATATGTCTGGAAAACTTCTAAGAGTGATTTAGTTGACCTAAGCTTGATTTACCTCTTATTTGACTAATTTTGGTAACATTGATTTCTTCTTATCGAGCTAATCGGTTTGATTATAAGTTTGCTAAAATTGAAGTTCTTGTTGAGTTTTTATCGAAATTGGAATATTTATTGCTCAAAGCTATCTCAAGATCTATCTCAAAATTCGTGTTAGATGATAGAGATTTATTAAAGATGCATCAAATATATTTATCTTTTATTTAAAGCTACATAACACCCACATCATGAACTTTTTCACCAAATATCATGTCCTCTTATTCTCTGATAATAGGGAGGATGATTGATGTCCGCCAGTTTGCACCCATTTTTAGATGACACGATCTTAGCCAAATAAATAATTAATTAAATTTTCTAATACCATTAGGGGTGTAAACGAGCTGAACACAAGCGAGCCATGCTCAGCTCATGCTCGGCTCGTTTATATTTCGAGCTCAAAAAATGTATTCGTGTTCTAATCATTTGTTTAACGAGTCGAATACAAGTTGTTCATGAACAAAGAGTCATTTTAACAACCCTAATCATGTAGTCATAAGACAATAAAGGTTTGAGCAAGATTTAAAAATTATTATTTATATTAAAACATCATTTGAATCTAATTTAATAATTTTTATTTTATTTTTTTAATCAATATTTTAATTGATTATAAATCTTTGTAGACTTGTAGTCAATTAGATTTATTTTAAATACTACTTAATATATATATACTTGATGAGTAGTATTTCGAGCCAAAACAAGCCGAACACAAACGAACATATCTTAGTTCGTGTTCGGCTCGTTAACTTAACGCCGAACACAAGCTTCTTAACGTGTCGAATACGAGCTGTTCACGAACAACGAGCCGTTTTGACAGCCCAAAATACCATAACCAATTAAAAATAAATATAAGCCAACCAACCATGAATTCAATTAGATTATTTTGGTCAGTTTTGTTCCCCTAATTTTTTCAAAGAAAAATTTTCTGCAAGACATTGTTACCCGTCCTCCCTTCAACAGATATCAATTTCGTAGAATAATACGAATTCCTATACATTCCTTGTCCCCATAATTTACCCTCAAAGCATCAATTTTCTATCAATCCCTTAAAAACATCACTCCACCCTAAACTCGTAAAACAGATGGACTAGAATGGCAGAAAAGACACAAATAGAACTACGGCGACAAAATCAAATAACGGGTATTCCCACATTGTCATCATCGTCGCAAGAATACCGCCAACCTATATACCAACAACGAAGAACAGCATTCGAATTCATTCCCCGAATTGACGGCAAAGAATGGAAGGCCAACAAAAATGAACAATCCAACAAGAAAAAAAAAAAAAAGAAACTAAGACTGAAGAAAGAAATTCCTATGCACGCTCGCCTCTAATACGACGAGCAAGTTGAACGTCCTTGGGCATGATGGTGACGCGCCTGGCATGAATGGCGCAGAGATTAGTATCTTCAAATAGCCCTACGAGATACGCCTCTGCTGCTTCCTGAAGAGCCAAAACGGCATGGCTCTGAAATCGCAGTTCCGGCTTGAAATCCTGAGCAATCTCGCGCACCAGCCTCTGAAACGGCAGCTTGCGGATCAAAAGTTCCGTGGACTTTTGGTACTTACGAATCTCACTAAAATCCCCCCACCCATTGAAATCAACATCAGAAATCCCTCAAGAACCTTTTCTAACACATTTAAAGCAGAAACATCAGACTTACCGGAGGGCGACGGTTCCAGGACGGAAACGATGGGGCCTCTTAATTCCACCGCTTGTCGGCATCGTTTTCCTCGCAGCCTGATCGAGATCAATTAACGACAAAAATTTTTAGAAACCAAATAAAATCAAACATCAATACCGACATTGCAAGCGGATAGAGAAGTAGCTTGCCTTGGTGGCCAGCTGCTTCCGAGGAGCCTTGCCGCCGGTCGACTTGCGTGCTGTTTGCTTCGTACGAGCCATTGACGGAGATGAAATGGGGGACGTTGAGTCGCAGTTACTGCGGGAAAGATTGCGTGGGGTATATATAGAAGTGAGGGAACGGGCTTTTGTGGGTTGGGCCGGACCGTCCTGTTCGCTGCCGTGATCGAAGGGCAAGGAATAATTTGAAAAAACTAGGGATCCGTGTGCTCTTTTCCCATTGGATTTAAGATGATTAATTCTCTCTGGTTTCGTTATGCGTAACAATAATTGGTTTTTTCAACCTCATAACAGGGAGAAATTAAATTATTAATTACGGACATCGCATGTATCTCTGTATGCGATATTCGATTCCGACCGTAGATCACGATGATCTACGATCATGATTATTTTCATGCTTTTAAAAAAAAAATTTAGGTGTGACCCACCGAAATATATCCGGACCGTAGATCATGTGATGTACGATCCGGATCGGACACCGCACGCAAGCTCAGTGCGGTGTCCGATCTGTATGGAATAATTTTTCCATAAAATGCGGGAGAAACATGTGACTCTTTAAGCTCATAATTATTTTTTTATAAACTCAAATTTACAAACGGGCTAAATATGAACAATAATGTATTTGCCCATCTTTAACTCCCTTCCCTTCAACTCCATATAAAAAAAATTACTTATTTTATTTATATAATATGATGTATGTATATATATATATATATAACAAAAACTCATTATCCATATCATTTTTACATATTTAGGGTCCATTTTGGACAACTTATTTGTTAAAATGGCGTTTTGAAAACACATATTTAGAGTCCATTTGTTAAATAAACTGTGTTTTGTCAACTTATGCGTTTTGAAAACACTGAAAGCAATGTTTTCACACCGCACCTATATAGATACGGTGATAGCTTTTTTGACAATGGTTTACTTTTAAAAAAAAATAAAAATTTATAATAATCACTACACATAATTTATCATTGATTATTTTTAATCAATTCATCAACAAATTATTCGATAAAGTGCAACTGCCCTAGCCAAATATGAACACACTGACCAATTTCAAATAAGCTAAAAAAGCCAAGCATGAAAGCCTGAGGTATTATGAAAATTTATTTATTAAAATAATATTAAATAATAAAATTATGGGTTAGAATGGGGCTATTTAATGAAATCTTTTAGGCTCTGAGCAATGTTTTCACAACAGATATGAGCAATGTTTTCACAGCAATGTTTTCACAACAGATATTTAATGAAATCTATTTAATAAAATTATGGGTTAGAATGGGGCTAAATATGAGCAATGTTTTCACAACAGATAAAATAATTTAAAATCTCATATCTCAAAATATTAAAGAAAATATTAATGGACAGTTTAACACAGAGGTATCATTAATATTACCCTAAAAATATCCTTCATTAAATTATTATGTTTCCAATACATAAAAATTTTTTTATATTTTTTTAATTTAATGCATATTAAAATTTATTATACATTTAAAATTCAGGTGATATCGTTTAGGATCTGAAAGTCAAATGTAGAAATGTATATAGGTTACGGTGAAACAGATGTTGTCATATGATAGAACATATAAGTAAATTATAAGAACACTAAAAGAATTCGCTCTGCAAATTCTACGAACACCAGCCAAACCGGTTAACGCAAACACGAAAATTTCCATTCAAATATAACTCTCGTCAAAAGAGAAATCAAAATTATAATCAGAAAACGCTGCATTAGCATAACTCTAAACGCTATTTAGAAATCCAGTTAAGTTCCAGAACTGATTTACAGGCTTAGAAAACTAGAGCATTTACACAAATTATCGTAAACACAACCAAAAGTGAAGTACCAGACAAACATTTCAAGCAGCGGCCTTTTTAGCCCTCTTAGCGGCGGGAGACTTGATTGACTTTGGTTGCTTGGGTTTTGGTTGCTTGGGTTTCGCGGGAGCAGAGAACTTCACCTTCTTTGACAAAGGTTTCTTCTTCGCAGATTTCTCCACAGGAGCAGGCTTCTTGACAGTCTTAGGCGCCTTCCTTTTAATCGGAGCAGAGATAGAAGCAGATGTTGGCTTGCTAACCTTAGCTGATGTCTTTGGCTTCTTCACCTTAGGAGCGACCTTTGGTTTCACGCCCTTCGCCGCCTTCTTTTCAGCCTGCTTTCCAGGCTCCGATAACTTGAATGAAGCCTTCACCTTCGAGAGCTTTCCATTGGCTGCAAGGTTCCTGAGTTGAATAGCAAGAAGCTTCCGAAAATTACCAGGAAGTGTTCCCTTGTGCTTCTCCTCCATGTGCTTAGCAATGGCGTAGGGACTGGAGCCCGTCCTCTCATGAAGGGCCAAGATAGCCTCTTTGATCATCTGTCGAACAATAAATCAGCCAAAAATTATCACTATAAAGAATACACCGGCAGGTGTTCAAGAAGAGATCAGAGGGAGCCAGAAAAATACATGGAAATATGGAGGATGAGAAGCGCTCTTGGCCTTCTTCTCCTTCGGATCTTTCGGCTTTTTCGCCGTTGCAGCTTTCGGGGCCTTACTCTTCACGGTCACCCGCTTATTACCTGTCGTCGACATGACTAAGCAGCGTCTGGAAGCTAATCTCTGAAATACGGATAAAGATAGGATCTTGGGAGAATTATGGCGTTATTTATATGCAGAAGAGAGCCAAGGCAGAATTTGAATAGAGTTTCTGATTGGCTGGAGAGGAAGGCCACGGATCATTATGGGACCAAAGACGGATCCTGAGCGTCAATTTCTACGGTGGATCTTTTCCGAATTTTGCTTCTCTATTTTCGTGTGAAGTAGATATAAATGTGTTTTTTCTTGTGCTTTTAATTATAGTTTAGAACGAAGATTTGGGCTGTGATTAATGACTTTTTACTTGATATTTTGTATGAAAAAAAGCTTGTAAATAGTGGAATAGAAAGGATTTCGAATGGAAGAGGATGGTTGTGTCTGGGTTGCAAATTATTGATTTATATTAAAAGTAGGAATATAATGTTTTCTTTTAATTGGTAAAAGCAAAAAAAATATTATTGACGCCAGATCCATCGTTCAAAAGATCATGTTTTTGATTGGTATTATTGCATGCCAAAAGATTTATAATGGTAAAATAATAAATTAGTGTGTCGACATTGCAAGAAAATTCAACACACACAAATATAATAGAGAAGAACCAGAAGAATGCATCTCTCTTTTTACATGAAAAACTGGAGATGGAAAAAATCTTAGGGTCTAGCCTCGTTGAAGTAATTTGTTATGTGATTTTGAGTGCATAATACAACTCTTATCTTGAAGTAGGAAAGATGAAATTGTAAAAGTACAATAGAGGTTCAATGTTACGAGGTGTATATGGGCATCAATAATTGTAGTTTTTGGTAATAATAATGATAATGGGCTGCATTGATTGTTGTCGATGGCTACGAAAGAAATGGTCTGCCACAAAATTTGTAAGCGGGGGTTACAATAGCATTAGTTTGTCGTAGAGGTTGTAATTAAAAGTCACAATAGTAGTTGGTCATATAGGCGATCAATTGTAGCCTCAATAGCGTCTATTGGTCGTAAAAGTCGCAATGAAATATTGTAATGATAGTAATTGACTATGTAGATTGTTGTAGGGATTTGTAGTAGTGTCAAGTGGCCAAAAGGGTAATAGGGGAGGGTTGTAATGATAGTGGTTTGAGACATAGACAATAGAAGGGAGTTACATTAACATTTCTAGGTCGCATGACCCGAAGTTAGGAGCTTCATGAGTTGTTAGTCATGTATGTCGTAGTTGGTCACATGTGTTATAATTGGGAGCTGCATGAGTTTTGAGCCATGTAGGTCTTAGTTGGTCAAATAGGTCGTAGTGCTTAGCAATAATAACGTTCATATGACACAAATATTGTTGTTGGAAACTGCATGAGTTGTGAGCCACAAGCCATAATTGGTCACATAGGCTCTAGTTGTGAGTTGTGATAACATCTGTACATCACAGAGGCCGGAGTTGGAAGTTAAGACATTAAATAAGTTGTGCGTCAGGTAGGTCGTAATTGGTCATACTAGTTGTGGCAGTAAGATGTAATAACGTCTGTAGGTCATAGTTAGGAGTTGCATGAGTCTCGAGTCGTGAGTCGCATAGGTTATAGTTGGTCATATAGGTCATAGTAATGAGATGTGAAAAACTTCATATGACAGAGGCCATATTTAGGAGTTGCATGAGTTAAGAGCCGCATAGGTCATAGTTTGTCACATGGGTCATAGTGGTGAGTTGAGATTAACATCCACGGGCCAAAAAAATTAGAGTTGGGAATTGCATTAGTTTTTAGCATAGGCTATAGTTGGTCACAAAAGTCATAGTGATGAGTTAAACTAACATCCACAAGCCATATAGGTCGGAGTTAGAGGTTGCATGAGTTGTGAGCCACGTAGACTGTAGTGACGAGCTATGATAATGTTCGTAGGCCATAGAGTCCATATTAGGAGCTGCACAAGTTGTGAGTTATGTAAGCCATATTTGGTCGCATTGGTTGTAGTTGTGAGTTGCACTGAAATCAATAAGCCACAATGATCAGAGTTAAGAGTTGCATGAGTTGTGAGCTACATAGGTCATAGTTGGTCACATAAAATGTAGTGATGTGCTTAGATGGAGTTCATGGGCCACAAATTTTAAAGTTAGGAGTTACATGATCTGTGAGCCATGTAGGTTGTAGTTGGTCACATTTGTCGTAGTAGTTAGTTGTAATAACTTTTGTAGACCATAGAGGCTAATGATAGAAGTTGCACAAGTTTTGAGCCGCTTAGGTTGTAGTTGTTCAATTACGTCATATAGATGAGCTGCAAGAGCATTAGTCTCCCAAAGGTCGTAGTTAATGTTATCTTAGTAGATGGTTCCTATAGAGACATTATTTGTTGATATACGACGTAAAGAGGTAACTTTAGGTGTCTAAAGAAGGTCTTCGTACTTTTTGTTTGACTATTGTGAGCAGTTATTGCTATGCATCATCACCAAAAGTTTGAAACGCTACACTTGAGGTGCATTGTTGCATAGTATTTGAGACAATGCATTACTCCGTAGCATATATTGTTCATTACATTATAATGTACGCCATTACTCCACAAGGTGCTTCATTATAACATTTGTCGTTACTCAATAAGGTCCACAAATAGTGATGGACAGGAGATAATCGACGGTGATCAACAATGGTCGGTGAGTGATTGTCAAAAGTAATTGCCAGCTACGGAGTAAGGAAGTGATCACTATGTCTTTAGTTGAGAGGCTAAAAATTGAATACAGCTGAAGTTATATTTTATTTTATTTTGAGTCGAGAAGGATTTGGGTAAATTGGACCCCATATCACCTATATTCAAGTTTTTTGAAAAAGAATTTTATCTTTTTTATTTCCTCTAATTTTATTTCTTCGAAAATTAAAATTTTAACTAAACTAAACATCTACCTTAATAGTTAAAATTGAAGAATCTCTCTCTCGTTGGTATACATTATAGTTGTTGAAATCTCTTAGGACACAGGGTTCCAAAATATTTGTTGGTAATGCCAAATCATACTAATATTTAGCTGAAGAGGGAAAAAAGAATGAGAGAGGACGAGCCCCCATTTGACCCATATTTATAAGGCTTGGTGTCTTTTTTATCGCGATATAAAAAAAAAAGCTATAAAAAAGTACATAATGTTTTGTCATTTTCAATAATTTTATATCATCTTTAGCAATTTCATGTCATATCCAATTATATAAAAGTACATAATGAAGTACAACTCTATGCTATAGTATGCATCTTTATATCACATGATTACATATAGTTGGACTTGTTAGCTTGGCAGCTCGACAACCTAATAACTTCGTTGCTCGACGGCATGGCAACTTGAAAGCTCGATAAATTGACAACTTGACAGCTGGGTAGCTTGAAAACTTGACAAGTCTTTTTATAGGTGTATTATTTAGTTTTTTATTCTATTATCTTTTTCTCAACTAATTGTGAAAAGAATAAGATAATGAAAAATATGAAAATATTTATTGCTTTTCTCTATAAGACAATAGTATACTTCATTTATCAAAAAATGAATTCTATGACACAAACTAAAATTCTTTAGATAAAAATAAGTTGTGTATTCATCTATCCGCAGGCTCTTAATACTCCTACAATGAATCTTCTTGGTCATACTTTAGCTACATCTATAGGATTCCAACTTTGCAGTATTAAGACACCCATTTAAATACTTTATAGCTGACTCAATGGATTTATAGGGAGATTTCCTTGAGTATTATTAGTGAAAAAAAAATAGTGTCATCTTTTTTTATGTTTTTATATTTTTTTTATGGAACTAGAAGGATTGCTTAGTTATAATATAACTCAATTATAGAGGAATTAAAATAATTTTGTAAATTTGGGCTTTCCTTCATTTAGGGGCTCGGAAGTTACTCTGGTACAGAGTCGTCGTCGTAATTTTTTAACTATAACTATGATTTTATCTCGTAGTCTTCAATCTCTATGTTAACTGACTTCATCATTTATTCACCCGATTTATATGTCAAAAAGAGTTTTCCAATTTCATCCCTAGCATTTAAGAGTTTGGATGATTTTTCTTTCTTTTTTTCATATGAAACTTGCTTTCCTTGATTAAAAAATGAAAGCTCGAACAAAAAATTATACAAAATAAGCTAGAGATAGTAGAGACTAAATGATAAAGATTTAAAGATGGAATATCTGATCTCACATGATAAAAATTCTTCTAGTGTGATATTTGTTTTCTCTCTCGAGATGTTTATGTGAAACTTTAGATTTAAGACATGTCTCTAAGCTCATTGCACATTTAAAGTTGTCTGAATTCGGTCTTTGCGGCCTACAAACATTATTATAGCTCCCTGTTATGATCTACGTGGCTCACAACTCATACAACTATCAACTCTCATCACTACGACCTACGAATGCCATCACAACTCCCTATTGCGGTTGTTGTGGCCAATTGACTTTCTTAAAGCTAACACTTACAACCTACATGGTTTACTAATGTCACGACTTTCAACTACAATCTCTATGACAATATGACGTTACATCCACCACCTACAACTTTCACTAGAGACTACTGTCTCTATAGCAACCAACTATGTTATTTGTTGTTTGCTGCAGTTGTTGTTTGCTGCAGTTGTTGTTTCTGAAATAGTATTATACATCAACTTCGTAATTTCATCTTCCATAATTCGGGAAAACAATGAGTTCATGCTTCAAATGCGCCATATCGCATGATTTTTTTCCTTTCTAAAGATTTCTACATAAAAATTATGGTCTCCTCCCACTACTTTGTTTTTATATATTTGTGTGTTAGATCTTGTATTATGCTGATACGCTAACTGATTACTCTATCAACACATATTTTCCGACAAGTTTCTCATACGTACCACTTTATTCCCATGTAATTTACATATTAACACATATTTTTTACATATTGACAATGCATCTTTAATTTTATTTTAAATTAAAATAGTGATATTTTAATGTGAAATAAAATTTGGTTGATAGATATATACATACTAAAGTTTTGACATGTAATTACATAAAAATTGAATGGCGCTTAGCTAGCAATTTTATAACTCTAACCCGAAGATTTGCAGAATAAAAACAGCTCCTTTCACTTTCGGCGGGCTTCTCCGGAGCACATCCAACCGTTCTCAAGTTGCCGCCAAACTCCGGTGCCGTTCATGTCCGCAAGGCAATGGTGGTCACAGAAGCTCCACCAAATCTCACCCATCTCTTCCCTCCCAAATGTGCCGCCTGCTTCTCATCTCTACCACCTCCAGGATCGCATACTTCGCCCGCTCTGGTCTTCTCCCTGCCGCGCAGCAACTATTCGATCAAATGCCCTACAGAGACACCGTCGCTTGGAACGCCATGCTTTCCGCCTATTGTAGTTCCGGGCTCCCCTCTAAAACCCTTTCCCTTTTCTACGCCATGCGAGCCTCCTGCACGCCGACGGATTCCTTCTCCTTCACTTCAGCGCTGTCAGCGGCCGCCAACCTTCCCTATCTTTACGCGGGCGAGAAGATCCATTCCCTCGCTCTACGCTCCGGGCTCTGCACTCGCTTGCCAATCTGCAACAGTCTCATCAACATGTATGGCAAGCGCTTCTGCCCTTCGGACGCCAAGAAAGTCTTCGAGGAAATAGATGAGGAAAATGAGGTATCTTGGTGCTCTCTTCTCCATGGCATGGTGATCTCCGAACTTTGGAACGAAGCATTCAAGGTTTTCGATGATATGCCTCTTAAAAATCTGATCGCTTGGAATATAATGATCATGGGATTGTCTTCTTCAGATTACCCAGAGATTTCTATACGTTTATTCAGGGAAATGTCGATTGTGGATTTCAAAGGAGATGCTTTGACCTTTACTAGTCTTATAAATTCCTGCACAGAGCTATCAGAACCTTTCTTTGGTCAAATGATCCATTCACTGATAATTAAAAACGGATGGTGCTGTACGGTAGAGGTGAGCAACTCTCTTCTTAGCTTCTTCTCCAAGTTCAGCTGCCACCTTGATGCCTTTAGAATCTTCAATTCCATGGAAACTCGTAGCCAAGTCTCATGGAACACGATGATAGACGCACAAATGAAGCTTGGCAACATAGAAGAAGCTCTGAACTTATTTCATGCTGCACCAGAGACCAACTTTGTATCATGGACATCCATGATTGCAGGATTCGCAAGAAACTGGCATGGAGAGGAAGCTCTTCTATACTTCGTAAACATGCAGAGAAACTTGCATTTACCTGATCAATTCACATTAGGCGCAGTCCTCCATGCTTGTGCCACATTGACAGTCCTAGGAAATGGACTAATGGTTCATGGCTGTGCCATCCGTCATGGCTTCGAACAATTTGTATATGTGGCGAATGGTTTGGTGAACATGTATGCTAAATGTGGTGATATCAAAAGTTCCAGCAAAGTGTTTGATGAGATGAAAGCAAAGGATTTGGTGTCATGGAATGCGATGTTATTTGGATTTGCAGCTCATGGTTGGGCTCAAACGGCTTTGAATTTATTTGAAGACATGATAGCTTCTTCTGTTCTTCCTGATAAACTGACTTTCCTTGGTTTGTTAATGGCTTGTTGCCATTCAGGGCTTGTTGAGCAAGGCATGGACTTTCTATCAGATATGGAATCAGTTCATGGGATTTCACCAGATGCTAATCATTTGACTTGTGTTGTTGACATGCTTTCGAGGGCCGGATACTTAATTAAGGCAACTAATTTGCTTAATTTTATTGAAAAGGAGCATGTTGGATACTGTGAGACTTTGCTTAGTGGAAGCACTGTCCATGGAGATGTGAGGTTTGGGGAGAAGGCAGGGGAGCAGCTGATGGAAATGGAGCCTGAGAAGGAGGTTGGGTATGTGATGCTATCGAATTTATACTGCTTTAGTGGGCGGTGGAAGGATGCGGAGAAAGTGAGGAAGGCAATGGGGGAGCACGGAGTGAAGAAGACTCCAGGATGCAGCTGGATAGAAGTGAGGGACATGGTGGTTGTCTTTGTAACTGGCTTTTCTTCTTTGTCTCACATGTTGGATTTGCATAACGTGTTAACAGTGCTGGAATCTGAGATGAGAAATCCGAGCTTCGTTGGATTTGGATTGGGATCATGATGCCTGTTCTTGCTAGGGAGATTAGAAGAAAAGGAGGGGACAGGCAGACATCAATAGACTGAGGCATTCAGTGTATAAATCTGACTATAAAGATTGTTAGAAATCCTCATTATGATGCAAGCATTTTGACTTTAATTTGTTTTATTATATGTTAAAGAGGGTGTTTGGCAGAAACATTTGAGCAGGATTTCACCTGAACCCTGCCAAACAGCAAAAATGACAGCTTTAAATCCTACAGGATCTTAAATCCAGTTTCTCCGTTTTTCGCCTTAACACTGGGATTTAGTAAATCCCATTGAAAGCTGGAATTACGGTAATTAGAGGTCCTGAAACGTGCGAAAGAGGATGGGAGAAACTGAAAAGAAAGATGAGTCTTAGTTGGGTGGGAATTAAGTGGAAATGTGAGATATATGGGGCTTTTAGAGATCTTTGTGCGCTGCTCTGATCCGATCACTGCGTACCCTCAGGGGCTAAGGTGCATTTGGAGTGGCGGTGCGGTGGCGTTGCGCCACAGTTTTTTCTATTTTACAAATTACGTTCGTTCTAAAAAAATCGAGCTGTGTTTTCCTACCATACTTGCTATCTGCAATGACTGTTAAAAAGCTGCAATCAGACTTTTTTTAAAAAACAATTCGTAATAGCCACCACTATTTTTGTAAGCAGCAACTTCTTCTTCAGCAGCTTCACGATTGCTTATGCAAATACTGCAACTGCACCAAACATACCATTAAACTTGATCTTGATTAATTAATTGAGGTTAAGCTCAAACTTGTGTTTAATACTACATGTTTAGGTCAACTCACCAACCTACTTTTTTATTATGAAAAATGAGAAAACATTATTAATTCATGCTAGTATTAAAATGAAATGATAATTCATAAGAAATCATTTGATATAAAATATAATTTTTTTTAAAAAATATTTTTAATATTTTAAAGATAAAGTATTTAATTTTAATATAGTTTATATTATTTATTTTTAAAACGGCCTGATTCTTTAGCTAACATGTTAAGCTCAGCTCACGAGTCATTTATTTAATCAAGCTGGAGTGAGCTCATGAGTCGGCTCGAGTGAACTCATGAGTCACCTTAACACAATTACAACAGGCGAGAGTTCAGGAGAAAATAGACTGGAAAAGGAGAAGATGAGTTTCAGGATATAATATAATTTTGTTTAAGCTAATTTAAAGAAAAGTTAATTGATTAACGATTATTAATTAATAAATATATTATCAAATTAATTGTAATTATAAAATTTTGTGTGTGATAACTTTATGAATAATCAACAAAAAATTAATTATATTGTACGTTTAGTAAATTTTTAATTAATGAAAGTTTAATTAATTATTAATTTATCTAATAAAAATTAATTGATGATTAATCAATTAATAAAACTATTGTTTGATAAATATTTAATTTTATAAAGTATTATCAATGATTAATTAATTTAGTAAAAAATCCTACTCAAGTTAAATCTTACTTGCAAGCAAACATATTCTAAATAATTGTTGCAAGTTTCTTATTATGTTATTTGAATTATTTTTTGGTGGTTCATTTGGGCTCAAGTTTAGGCATTTTTGATGATCTTGCAAATGTTATTTTGATTATAAGCATGCAATCTATATTTATATTTATTCTATTTGGTGTAATAAATTAATGCATGAAACTATATATTTAACTTCTAATTCTTAATAATAGTAGTATTTATGATTACATATTTGAGTGCTACTTAGGTTGATATGAAATATTAGGTGTTAAATATGCAAAATACAAAAAAAGTTTGATATGTATTTGAATCTCCCCAAGAAAAATCATCAAAAGTTATTAAGACATTGATGTTTCATTAACAAATCTCGGTCATGCGACACGAATCTTGAGATATGACATAGATCTCGTTGCAATCTTTTGAGCAAGAAACGTTCAAATTTTAATAAAAAGTTATCTGGAAGTTAGATTTCAACAAACTTACAGTCAAACTGATCAACTCAACGAGATAGACCACATGATACCAAAATTGGACCAATTCGAGTCAAATCATGCCCGACCAAGACATTAAATCGCTTTCGGGAGCTTTTCGGGTATATTTGAAAGGTCAAATGGATGTGGAATCAGATGAGCTTATAGTTAATCGAGCATCTCGGTAAGACGAATCCAACGAGCTTAAGATAGCTTAATTCCAACTTCATTAAGGGACTCAAATATCCATTAAACGCTGTTTGATTAAAAGAAACTCTCTGGACTGTCTGATCAAACTGTTTCATAATTATGTCTTGATTGCTCCCAAAGTTTTATGAATACAACCTCATCCCTCTAATGAGGGTGGGGGGGTGGCGAGCGCAAAAGGAGAAGAAGCTTGAAATCTGAAGAGAGAGCTTGAAGCATTAAGAATGAGCTAAAGTTCAACATCACCTCATTGCTGACTACCAATCGTCGATCACCGCAGGACACCAGTCGCCAACCATCACTCGTCGGTCGTCGTCGATGCTGGTCGTCGCCGAGCAGCATCGACCGTCGCTCACTTCTTACAACAAGTTCATCTGCGCATCGACTTTGCAGTTCGAAAGTTTGTGTAATTTTTTCCCACATGTGAGAGAAGGGAATGCACTTATATTCTCTAATATAGATTGAATTTTTTCAGTCGGGTCAGATCCCGTGGTTTTTTCTCTTTTTGAGTTTTTCACATAAAAACTTATGTTATCTCTATCTGTTGTTTCTTTCATCTGAGTATCCGTTGAATTCTCGTGTAACACAAAGTCTTCCACAACTTCTTCTAGCTTGGGGGGGGGGGGGGGGCCTTCCCTTTAGTATCAAAAGGTCATTCACATTAACATCCTAGGCACAAGTGTGATGGAGTAGCCATCCCACATTTCATTCAGACAATAAGTTTTTGAAAACAACTCCTAGAATGGGAGGCAATCTTCATCACAAATAGCGTTTCCTCAGCGCCCTCTTACCGTACTTGAGTTCTTCTTCAACTAGATCAAGAAACTGATCTCTTCAAGGCTCAATACATGTGTTACTTTGCAAGTTCGCGTGGAAGCGCCCTCGCTATGGTCAAAAGATTCAAAAAACAGCAACTAACAAGTTGTCAAAAATTATTCTAGAGTATGATTGCAACCATATTTCATATATATATATTATATATATATATATATATATATATGGTCCATTGTGACCTACGCCCCAAACTTCAGAAATGCAAAGCATCTCTGATACCTCATTCTAGGCTTAATAGATTCTATGGGGACTTGATTCGACCTCTTCCATCACATGCTACATTCATAAAGCAGAAGCTTCGATTAAGAACCTCAAATTGGTAAAAAATCTTAAGAGAATTTTCTTTGACCTCTTCCACAACATTTTACAATTGTCAAGAGAAAAAAATATTTTAATTATCTTATGTGGATTTTATTTGACTTTGTCAATTACAGTTTAATACCGTCGAGCATCTTTGGATATACAACCCAGGAAAGGTCTTCCATCCTTGATGGAATCTTCTTTCAACTATGCTCCAACAGAAGCTACAGTCGTCAGACAGACACAATTCAACTAACAGCCTGGGAAAAGTCGAACATTTGCAGTGGTAGACAAGGTCTCCATGCCCCTGGAAGTTAAGCCCAAGAGGCAAGACTCAATTGGAAGATATAGTACCACTGGAAGTCAACCCCAAGAGATAAGACTCAATGAAAGCTACCATGTCCCTAGAAGTCAAGACCAAGAGGCAAGACTCGATGCAAGATATGGTACTCCTGAAAGTCCCAAGTGACAAGACTCGATAGGAGGCTACCATGCCTCTGGAAGTCAAGCCCAAGAGACAAGACATGATGGAAGCTACCATGTCCCTGGAAGACAAACCCAAGAGGAAAGTCTCGATGGGAAGCTAGTAGCTGATAAGGTCCTCATTAGAAAGACATCAAGAGAGCACCTGGTTGACAGAGCCTCCACTCAAAAACCTCAGAAGGCTACAAGGTTCAGAAAGCACAGGTGCATAAAAGACTTCATAAAGCTGCAAACCTTATAAGACGCAGTTACATCAAAAACGTCAGAAGGCTACATGCCTCAAAAAACACATTTACATCAATGTCCTCTGATGGATACAAGCCTTAGAAGACACAGACACATCAAAAACCTCAAAAGGCTACTAATCTCAGAATATATCATTTCATTTCAAGCTTCTATAAGGAATAAACCTAAGAATGCACAAGCCTCAGAATATGCAAGCCTAAGAGGGCGCAACCTCATAAGGCACAAGCCTCAAAAGGTACGCGATTCTCTTTTAATAAATGCACGCACTAACTTTGATTGCAGACTTCAACATGTTTGAGAAGCCAAAGAGCTTCAAAAGGCATAAGCCTCAGAAGTGGTCGACACCAATATGCAACCTAGTAGCTGGGTAACAACACCCCAAAAGTGGGGCAAAAGTATTCCAGAAGAAAAGGCAGAATCAAAGCTCACAAGCAACATCAAAATTTTTATTACTACAAACATAAAGTACAGACAACACTTCCACATCATTTGCAAATGCCACATTAGGCAATTAAAGAGCTATAATAAGTCAGTTCAGCTTTAAGTGAAATTGGCATCGCCTCCCCAAATTTTATTACTTATGTTGATCTCCAACAGGACGAGATTCTCCAAACATCGCCACTACTACAGCACAAAAATCTCCCTTGGTGGTGTGGTGGGAAAACACCAACTTTTCTGTGTCTCATTCGGAATGTGCAGTGGAAAAATTCCAGCTTTTCTTCATCTTCTTCAACACGTTTGGGGAATTTCCATGGATGTCGTCATCTCAGTGATACGAAAGAAAATCCCATTGATTGTATGCTACAGTGGACAATGATGACTTTTTTCTCCATAACAACATGAAAAAATATCTCGTTGATCTTCTGCTACACAAGACGGGGACGACTTTTTTCTGCGTCGCAACATGAAAGAATGTCTCATTGATCTCTTGCTCTCAGAACAAGATGACTTTCTTCTGCACTGGAATACAAAAGAGGACCCCCTTGTTTGCCTGCTACACAGGAAATAGACGACTTTCTCCTACACCGTAACATGAAAAAATGTCTCATTAATCATCTGCTACGCAGGTCAGAGACGCTTTCTTCTTCTTGGAAATCCTAGATCATCTACTATGCAAAGATGGAGACTCCAACTCTACCCTCTCATTCTTGCCTATTTATAGGCTACAAAATCACTCATATTTATGATAAAAAATGAATTCAACCATTAAAGAATAACTGAAAAGGCCAATGTTCCAAATTCCGGCCAATCAAATTCAAAGATTTTTTTTTTCGCTCTTACGAAGGAAGGCATTGAACCCAACTCCCCTCCAGGGGCAAGAAACAAGAAAAGCATTACCAAGTGAGCCGGGAAGTCTATTTATTCATTGACATACCTAAATTATTCTTATACTAAACATAATCAATAATACAAGTATATATATACATATATATATACACACACACACATACTTATGAAAGTAAAACGATAATTTTAATATTTTTAGAAGATAAAATTGGTCTTGCCCAATAGTAGAAAATAACTGGTAGAATATTAACAAATCTCCATCATAAGATACGAATCTCGAGGCATAACATGGAACTTGTGGCATAACACGGATATCGTGGCAATATTTTGAGCAAGAAACATTCAAATTTTGCTAAAAAGTTATCTGGAAATATTATTTCAACAAAACAATGATAAAACTGATCACATACCAAAATTAGTCAAATCTGAGTCAAATCAAGCCTCAATTAAGACATTAAACGTCTTTTGAGAGTTTTTTCAGGCATATTTGAGAATCAAGCATCCAAGTAAAACTAATCCAGCGAGTCTAAGATCGCTTAATTTTGATATCATTTAAGCCCTCAAATGTCCATTAAATGTCGTATGATTAAAGGAAACTCTCTGAACCGTTGGATCAAAGTGGTTCATATTCCTACATTAATTGCATCTGAAACTTTATAAATAGAGTTTCATCCCTCTCATGGACACTAAACTTTAAAGCCTAAAGAGAGAATAAGTCCAACATCACCTCATTGTCAAACACCACCGACCACCAGTTGTCAACCGCCACCGACCATCACTCGTCGATCGTCGTTGATCAACATAGATCACCGCTCACTTCTTACGATAAGTTCATCCGCACTCCACATTGTCTCGGAATATTGTGCAATCCTTTCCCACCTATAGGACGCGAAACCGTACATATAATCTTCAGTTTATAGTAGATCTCTTTAGCTAAGCCAAACCCTATTGTTTTTTCTCATTCCTTGTTTTCCACGTAAAAACTTTTGCTGTCTCTACTGATTGTTGCTTTCATATAAGTGTGTGTTGAATTATCGTGCAACAATAAGACGATAATCTATTAATCTACTGCCACAAATCTTTTAGCACGCATCAAACATGATTTTTCTTAGTCGAGATTTTTGTTTTTTAATTTTTTTGCTAGATATGATGTCTCATTTAGTCGAGAATTGATATTTAGTGAGTAGCCACTTTATACCTATAGATTCCTTTCGTTGCCATTTATATATAAGCATCTGCATATCTAAAGAATGGCAAATGCGATGAAATCTAAGAAAAAGAGATAAACGCATTTAATTATCATTTTCCGAGTTTTCTTGAAGGAAGGTCACACAGCGGTTTGGAAAAGGGTTTAATTATGCGGATACGAAATCTTTGTATAAATCCAATGGATAAGGAATAAGGAAGCTATAAAGATAGTTGTGATACGAAATAAAATAAATGGGGCATAATATGCAATTCTTTTGTATTTATATATCTAACCTCTAAATTTTCATCTTTACTCTTGTAGCACTCAATTTTTTTTGTTATTACATTTAAAATAATACTATTTGTTGAATCCTTTTAGAATGTAGGGTCATGTATCTCTTTTGAGTACATACAAATTGATAAAGATCTTGTGTTTGCAGAAAAAAAGGTAGAAGATAGAGATGTTGGCGAGGTTTGAGAGAGGGTCTCACGGTGAGAGATGGTCTCGAGGTTGTGTATTGTGCTAGAACCTCCCACAAGCCAGAAAAAAATGATTCAGATGAGGCTTCTTGAATTACATCGTTAGAGAGAGAGAGAAAGATTTTGGAAAAGATCGAGGATGTTCTCATTTTCTCTTGACTTCCCTTTTTTAAAAAAAGAAAAAAATAAAAATAGAAACTACAGTACGAACAGTCATCCATGGTGTCTTGATGAAAAGATTAAGTTATAGTCTTAGAGAGAGAGAGAGAGATTTTGGAAAAAAAAATCCATGATACTCTCCTCTTCTCTTGACTTCATTTTTATACAAAAAATAAAAGAAAAAAAAAAAAAACTCTACACTTAGTACAATACGACACATTCATGTGCGGTGTCTTTATGAAATGACTACAACTTAGATGTTTAGCTACTTAATAGTAATGATGTTCTTCCCTAATAGTTGTTAATCCCTAGGCGGGCTGGGTCATCTCCTCGGGAGAGATAAGATTTAGCTACTTCGGTAAGTGAGCTTTATTCAGCCACTTCAACAATTAGGCTTGATTCAACTACTTTAACAGATGAGCTTGATTCAGTCACATTTGCAGGTGTGCTCGATTTAACCAAAAAGAAAGTCGGTGTTTATGTGTTTGAAAGTAATTGTATATTAGTGTATACTTAATCATTATTATTATTAAAAAGTGAAATACACATTTCATACATAGTTTGACAACACCAAAGTGCTATGAATGTAAATAGGAAATCTTAGATGTGGGACATGTAAAACTATAAAAATTGTGTGCTACATATGTTTTTTTTTTTATTTATTTATTTTTTTTATTTTTTAATAATGTTCTAATGTTTTCTACTTTGAGAAGAATTGGATTTGAATTATTGTCAGAAGAAAAAAATTTAAATTGCTCATGGCAAGATATACATTACATGCTACAAAATTTTTAACAGCAATAAAATAAAATAAAATAAAATAAAATAATTAAACTTAACTTAAAAAAAAAAATCTAACATACAAAAAAATAGAAGTGCTAAAGAGAATTAGGCTTTTATTCAGAAAACTAAAAAAAAAGAGAGATGGTTTAGCCCCATCAAAATAGTTCACTATATAACTACAACTTCTTAGAGTGTCATTTTAATAAATCTCGTTAAAATATGAAATACTTTATCAGATTGTTCATATTGATTACAATGATCAACGATCACTCTTTCAATATTTAAGTGTTTTAATGAACTCAAAATTAAGCTATATTTTACTCATTTGCTTTCTCTTGCCAAATCGGTCAATTCAATTATAAACATGGTAAAATCAAAGATTATTTAACCTTTTAATTAATGTTTCAAAGCTTCTAATTACACTCAAAGTACTTAATTTAGACTCATTTGGACTGGGGCGGGTGTCATTAGGCTGGTATGATCAAAGAGTTCAGTTTGTTTATAAATTTGTTGAGAGTGAAGCTTGGATGATTTTGAATTTGACTTTAGATGTCATTTCATCCAAAACGAATAGAAATTTGTGTTTGTGTCACTATATTTTTATGTTTGATTATGGATAATTAATATATTCTTATAAAGATTCACATGTCTTGTCATGGTATAATAAAAATAAAAACTAAGGATGCATATAAACTTATTTAAAGGTCAAAATAAAATTAAATGGTTAGCTTTTTTGCTATACTCTAAGAGTCAAATTCAAGATTAGTTTTTTCCTAATATAGTTTGAGTCTATTCTGAAATAAATTTGTACCTGAAATATATAATGCATTGAACATCATACCATATTGTACATTAGTAGTCATATGATTAGAGAGAATTTGATTGTCATAATGACAAAATATAATATACACACAATTAAATAAGTGAATGAAAGAAGGCATACAATTATTTTTTTTTGCATAAAGACCTTGAAAAGGAAAAGAACACTCTTCTAAATTAAAGTAGCATCCTCCAATGTTAAGAAAGATTTAAAAATAACTATGCCTAAGTTTAGTGATGATAATGCCTTATTCTGGTTATGATAGTACATAAAGACTTATGAGTTCGATGAAAGTGAAAGCATTTCTCTTCTTCATAAAAATAAAGGTGGCATAATCTTAAGTTAGTCAAACAATGCTATGCAAGAATGTATTGTTAGCCATTAAAGATAGTTAATTCAATCATCCATTGAAGATGGAGTAGTCTTATGTAAAGTTTCATTTTAAGCTCATTTACATTGAGTTGGCTTTGAGTGTTTTTTATGATTTTTCTTAAATTAAAAAAACTCTACTTTTTCTTAAAAATTTTAAGAATATTTTAACTTAATCCAAAGATAGAGGGTGATAAAATCTAATTGTCCCATTTTACGTATAAAAATAATGAATTGAAAGGTACTTCAAGGTGACCAACACTTACAATGCAAAATGATTATGTTAAGGTAGCTATAACCTTATTTGTTTTCCTCTAATGCCTTGTGTCTAGAACAAAGAGATTTATAAGTCATTCTTTTAACATGTAATTCAGTATGAAGAGTGATTGTCAACCTTAATTCTATCTATTTAGATTCTGACACTAGTTAAAATTCTGTGGTCAAATGGCGCGACATTTACAAAAATATAAAATAAGTATCCTCATAGATGATTATACTTCGAAGTGATACTATCTAGCTATAAAAGAGCTTCAAATTTTAGCTTTGGGGTATACTATAGGTGGACTTTAAAAGCAAAGCAATGTAACATACAACACAAAAGAAGAGAGAGAGAGAGATCGAAAGAGGAAGGACTATCAGAGAGAATTGAAGAGGAGCAGCGATAAGAGCAGCTCTGCCTTAAGGCGTTGTTTTGAAAAATTTGTTTTTGAAATAGTGAAAACAAAATTCTCATATTTTCGATACTTTTAGATCAAAATTAAAATTTTTAAATAAATAAATAAATAAATAAATAAAAACTATTTTTTAAAAATAAAAAACTAAAAACATAAATTTATAGCAAACAACTCCTTAAGATTAGAAAATATTTTGCATTTTCTTGTTGTATGGACATCACATGAGTATTTAATTAGAAACAGTTAAAAATGATTGTTGGGACGTGTGAAAAATATTATTTATTTATTTATACGGTTATTAATTTAATTTTTTATTCATAATTGTTAATTTATACCGACAAAAACTTCGAATAACAAGCCGCGTCGTGAAATGAAATGCCGATGAAATCCACGCGGAATGAACTTCAAATCCTCCTTAAATTCACGCGTTTATCCGGAGAGCGCGCGTCTTGAGCGCACAGAAAGGAGCCCTGAAGACAAAACAGTATATGCACTGGAAAGAGAGCAGGCAGTGGAGAAGAGTCTAGTCAGCTAACTTCGTCCTCTCCGCCATTATCGAAACCAGGTGCCGTCTTTCGCCCATCGTCCATTCAACATTTGGCTCACTCTCCCGCACGGCAGCCCGCAGCCGGCATTCCCTATCACGTACTCGCTCCCAATCTCATCTTTTCCTATCAAATTCCCCCTCTTTTCTTCTGTAATGGAGGAAGCCGATTCATCCCACAGAGGTTCGATGAAGGCATTGAAACTCTCCACGAACTCAATCCCCTCTTCTCCCCCTTTCAATCTACCCTACCAATTAGATATTCCAAGCTTTCAGCCGACGGCCAGCAGCCGAGTATTGTACCGCCAGTTCTCGCCGATTCTCAATCCCGACGTCGCTAAGCGCTCCGGCATTTCTCCAGCTCACCCCGTGTTACCCCCAACCCCGATTTACTCCCAGATCCCTCCGAACTTCAGTCCATCGCCTTCTAATTCCAGCTACATTTCTCAGCCCTCTCTTACTTCTGTTCCTTTCCCCGACCCCACGACAACCGTTTTTTCGGCGCCTTCGCTCTCCGACCAGGCGGTCTCCGGTGATCCGAAAATGGGTGACATTTCTGCTCCTCAACCCCCAGTCCAGCTTAATCGGACTATCGCTGATGGAATTCATAAGCGCAAAGCACATCGGCGATCTCAGAGCGACATCCCTACGGCATTCCTCCTCCCATCTACGGGCTTCCACCGCTGCCGCAACATTTTCCGGCTGGTAAGGAGAGCTTTCCGTCTGGATCGGCAAAGAATCGATCCACATTCGTGAAACAAGAGGCTGAATGTGATCGAGAAGGTGATAGTGATCCAAGATCTGATGGAGATGCGGGAGATGATCTTATTAGCGCTTACATGAATCTGGATGGCATGGATACTCTAAACTCTTCGGGTACCGAAGATAGGAATGACTTGGATAGCAGGGCTAGTGGCTCCAAGACAAATGGTGCGGAAAGCAGCGAAAATGAAGCTGAGAGTGAGAGCAGCATTAATGAGGCCTTGAGCAGAATGGGTGAGAGGAAGGAGACGAACAAGCGAAGTGCAGTAGGTGATCCAGCCATGAACAATATGCCTCCCAGGCATTGTAGGAGTGTTTCGATGGATAGCTTTATGGGGATGTTGAATCTTGCTGACCAACTTCCAAAGCCGCCATCTTCCTCTGGCTCCAGACCTGCCGAACATTCTCGTAGTGGATCAATGGATGGGACTTCCAACACCTTCAATTTGGAAATTAGAAATGGTGAATTTAGCAGCGCTGAGATGAAGAAAATCATGGCTAATGAAAAGCTTTCTGAAATAGCAATCAATGATCCTAAAAGAGCCAAGAGGTACTTAATTAGTCTTATTTGCTTCGTGTACTAAGATCTTGGTGCTGTAAAAAACCGTTTTTTTATTTGTTTTTCTTATTGTCTGGCAGGATATTAGCCAATCGCCAATCTGCTGCTCGTTCTAAGGAACGAAAGATGCGCTATATTACAGAGTTGGAGCACAAGGTGCAAACTTTACAGACAGAAGCAACCACATTGTCTGCTCAGCTGACTGTGTTACAGGTATTTTACCATAGTCTTTTTGTAATTTGTTGTTTGACCTCAGAGATTCGCTTATTTCTGTGATTTGAATTATTTTAGAGGGATTCAGCTGGACTTGCATCTCAGAATAATCATTTGAAATTTAGGCTGCAAGCTATGGAGCAACAAGCACAATTGAGAGATGGTATTGTTCTTGACTTTACTGATCATTTTATTCTTCAACTAATTATTTATTTATTTATTTATTTTTTTTGAAGCAAGTTTGCTTGAGTTAAGTAGGATACAGTGGTGATTCTATAGATTGGATTCCCGAGAATTTAAATACTATCTGCTGTTTCTATAAAGTTACATTTTATTGCTTAGGGGTAAATTACATACATTGCGCCCAAAACATTGCTATTTACGAATCTAGCATCCACTTTCATCCATTTTTTAAATTCTCACTCAAATATGAAAATTCATAATAAAACTACTACCAGTATTTTTCATTTTTATCAAATTCTCAATGGTTTAATTGCAGCACGCATAAATAAATACATCGGTTCATTCAAAAATTTCACATGAGTGCTAGATTTTGTAAATAATAATTTTTCAGCCATGTATGTAATTATCCCCAGTCCAACTTCGTCTATTAGATTTACATTGTTTCTAATGTAATGTTTTATGTTGGTTGTCATAATTTACTCAACTGATAAGAAAATAAATAAATAAATGAATAAACTTTAAACCTCTTACACTGCATGATGGCAGTGTGGTGCCGTACCACCCTTTTTTCTTATTTGACAAAATTACATTATGCTTGTATTTTTAAAAAAATTGTGGTAGAAAGCTGTGTTTTGCAACTTGACTTGGCTAAGTGCGGTAGCTACTTCGACCATTAGAAAGTTGCAATCTGACTTTGAAAAAAAAATTTAATAGCCACCGCAGTTTTTTAGAAAACAGCTTCTTTTGATGCAACTTCATAAATACTTCTTCAAACAGCTACAGTTTCCCCAAACAAACCCTTGCGTTATATGACAGTCGAGAGGAACTAGGTCTCAACCTCCATCTCTATGGTACATGTAATGTTTAAGATGAAAAGTAACAAAATCTTGCTAAACAAGTTGTTTAAAATAAGTATGGAAGACTTAATTACATACCACAATTCCTTCGAATTTACATATCTGACACCTAAACTTTATTTTGTAAATTTATGGAACTTTACATATGCATGAAAATGTGTATTTTACTTCTAAAAAATTATTAATTGTGGTATTTTTTTATGTGATATAAAAGATATGAGTGTTTTAAATGTAAAAAATAGAGGTGTTGAATATGTAAATACATAGAAATTGGTGAGTGCCCGGGCACTTGCAATTTTGCTTTTCTCAAAGTGTTTCATGGCTTGTTCAAGAGTGTAAGTTATGTAATATTGTAGGTATCAGTTACTTCTGGGTTTGCAATTTCTACAGTCAAATCCTTTTAATAAAACAGTTCTTCAATTCAAGTAAAATTCAGCCCAACATAAACGTTTGTAAATTCACTTTCCAAATCCACCACTGTGGTCAATTAACCTTGAAGTCATCACATTATCGAGCATATCGACAAATCTAAAAATTCACTTTCCACTCCGCTCGCGTGCTTCGCCACGCTCGCTCCGTTCCGCTCCAGCATCTGTCCCTTATCTGGTATAGGAGCCATATCTAACATATAATAACTCAAAATGATCTATTAATCTAATCCTAAATCACTGATTATAATTACTAACCTTATCAGTCTTAAGGACGGGTTTCTGGTGTTGTGTTTTAGATTGTCACCACAGTTCTGTTTGTGGAATTATTTTATTTAGACTTGGTGGAAATTTTTGTGGTGTAAGTTGTTTCTTACAAACAGATTTACTGAAGTGTGTTCTAATATTTATAATTCTCATCGTAACTTTTAATAATTTAATTTTCTCAAGAGAGGCCATCTTAAATTACTTTCAGTTAACATTATTTTGGCTTTTTGTAATCTGACTCCATACATTTTGCAGCTTTGAATGAAGCACTCTCTGCAGAGGTTCAGCGTCTGAAACTTGTTAATGGGGAACCCATCTCGGCGAGCTTAAGCCAACAAATTCAACTAAATCCTCAATTATTCCAACTGCAACAACAACAGATTTCTGATGCTGCTGATCAGGAAATGAAGCAGTGATATCTCCAATCGGTCACTTTTAACATTTTCTTAATTGCAAGAAAATCAAAAGGTTCCTTTTTTACATTTATTCACCCAGATTTGTTCTTTAATGCTTTCATATGTTTTTTGTAAGAAAGCTGCTATCTTAGAACTATTAATTTTTTTTAAAAAGACAAATTACTAGAAAAAAAAATGTATTCATTTATACTGATGATACAAAATAATGCACCGTAGGAAGATGTAGAAGATGTTTGATATAAATTACAAGGTTTAAAATGCAATCTACATTTCTATTGTTTTTTACTGCATCTTTTTCTGAAAATGTTTGTTACTGTTTTGTAATGTTCTTTATATATATACATAAATATATATATATATATATATATATGTAAATGCCTTCATTTTAAAATCATCAGACCAAATTAAAATATAGGATATTCGCTCTGTCATGGTTAGTTTTTTTAGCAGGCAAAAGGACAGTCTAGATTGGGTTGATTGCATTTTAGAAACTTGTTACAAATTTGGAAGTGGCCTATAAAATCATATGAACGCCACAGATGACAGCCAATGACCATATTCAAGAAATAGAGAAGATTGCAATACTTGTCATTTATGAAATCCTTAAATGATAAATAGTATGGCCGATGTGTTATAGACAAATTTTTAAAGAGCACGAATCTGAATACATTTTAGGGATTGTTCAAATTCAAATTCAAATTCATTCTCGTCTCATTTTGAACAAGTTTATAATCAATCTGGTTGTCTGACAAGACGAATCCAATAATGTCAACATTGGTTAAATTGGGGGTCCAATTAAAGCCCATATCAATTTGTAGATTATTAATTGGATGGTCAAGTGAAGTTCAAATTTCGCATATTTTGTCTTGATGAGAGAAATACAACGAGCCTTAGATAACTCAATTATAATGTCTTTAGGACACCCAAATATTAAATGACCATTTGTTATCAATGAGGATTAGCATACACCGTATAATCAGATGGTTAAGGACGTTATGAGCTAAATGGACAAAATATCCATCCTAAAGAAGCTATAGATGTCCCTTCTCTTCACTTGTGGGGAGGATAAGAAGAGAACAATAAGTCAAATTACAAAATCTGTTATGGATAAAAGTTCTCATGAGTAATCACTTAACTTTGTAGCCGTCAGCCTCCGTCAACTACAGAATCACCGACCTTTGTGACTGCCAACCTCCGTCAATCACGACCTTTGTAGCTATAAGTATAATTTTTTATTTAATTATTTTCATCAAGAAATAATTTGTGATTAAGAAGGATGCTATTTTCTACTTATTATAATTTAAATAACTTAAATACAATCAATACAATATTTTATTAAGTAAAATTAAAAATACCAGTCACATTATATATATATATATCTTAAGTTATTTAATATTATTCTAATTTTGGTTTAATTTGTCTTAATAGAAGTTATTATTTAATTTGATTAATGATTTTTAAACTATAAATTATTTACTCATTGAGATATTAATTAAAGTACTTATGATTTAATTAGTCTAATCAAGCTTGATATAAAAACGAACATTAAAATACATCTTAAGAATATAAATCCTTAAATCAACAAATAAGTAATTGTACACCTGGAAATGGTTCGCACAAATCTCGGAATAATCTGACAGTCCATATTAAAAAAGATAAAACGAGGATCATCTCTTTGGCGTAAAGATACGAGTATTCATAGAGTCAACCAGTTGAAGACCACTAAACGACTGATGGCCAACCGATCGAAGGGCTGGTGACCAATTAAAGGACTACCAATCGACTGAAAGCCAATCCGAGACAGGCTTCTACGCCAGCGATCGGTCCAACGGCTATCCTCTCAATAAATTCACTAATATCAACATAAAACTATCTCAACAGATCCCTCAAAGATCTCAGAGATCACTAAGGAATAATAATAAGTCAGTCGACCAACAAACCTAAGGCCAACCAGTGTCCATACGAAAAGACATAACAAAAGATAATAATACACTATAACGCTCCACTTAAAGCAAGGGCAAATATGCAATTTTGCACTTTATCCCTTTATCTTTTATAAATAGGGGGACCATGACATGCATTAAAAGTTTTTTGCCTTAAAAACATTAAATGGACAGGTGCATCTGGTTTGCATGTTAAAGAAATCGTTGTATGGGTTGAAACAGTCTCCAAGACAATGATACAAACGGTTAGACTTCTACATTATTCAAATTAACTACAAGAGATGTGAGTATGATTGTTGTGTTTATGTGAAGAGTCTTGATGATCGTTCTATTATTTTTATGTTACTGTACGTTGATGATATACTGATTGCTGCAAAGAATATGAATGATGTTCGTGGTTTGAAAGCTTTATTGAGCCAAGAATTTGACATGAAAGACTTGGGCCCTACAAAGAAGATTCTTGGAATGGAGATTCATCGAGACAGAGGCTCAAGACGATTATGTTTATCTCAACGAGGCTATGTTGAGAAAGTGCTGGACAGGTTTGAGATGAGCAAACCAAAGCCTGTAAGCACTTCTTTAGCAAATCATTTTAAGTTTTCTTCATAACAGTGTCCTAAGATAGATACAGAAATCGAAGATATGACAAAGGTTCCATATGTCAGTGCAATTGGCTGCTTGATGTATGTAATGATATGTACTCGTCTTGATTTGACTCATGTTGATTTGACTCATGTTGTGACTCATGTTGTTAGTCAAGTCTGCAATTTTGGGAAACAGTTAAGTGAATTTTCAGGTATCTAAATGGTACTGTAGGACATGGAATTATTTTTGGCAGTCAACAGAATGATTCTTCAGTTGTGGGGTACATTGACTCTGACTATACTGGTGATTTGGATGACAAAATGTCTACAAATGGATATGTTTTTACTCTTGGTGGAGGGTCTATATGTTGGAAATCAACAATTCAGTCTATTGTGACATTATCTACAACTGAAGCTAAGTACATGACAGTAGCTGAAGCTGCAAAAGAAGCCTTGTGGCTTGCTGGGCTGGTAAAGGAACTAGGCGTTGAGCAAGTTGGAGTTAAGTTGCATTGTGACAGCCAGAATGCTATTCATCTGGCTAAGAACCAAGTGTACCATGCGAGAACCAAGCACATTGATGTCAGGTATCACAAGATCAGAGAATTGATTGCTTCTGGTGAGATACTATTGCAGAAGGTTCATACTGATGAGAATGCAGCTGATATGTTGACTAAGTCAGTTACTATCAATAATTTTTTGTATTGTTTGAACTTGTTGAATGCTTGCAGTTGCCCCCGCGGTGTGTGGCGCCACCCACTTCTGGTATGTAAGAAACTCCATAATTTATTTCTCCCAAGGGGCTGGATATTCTTCAAGGTGGAGATTTGTTAGATATGACTCATATACCATAGAGGGACAGATTCTGGGGCTGAGCGAAGCAGAGCGGAAGATTCTGTCAAAATCAGGGGAGTTTCCTTATGTGAATTGGGGTGTGGTACAGGGGAATTTGATAATTACATATTGTACTCTAGGGTTTTTTAGGGTTATAAATAGGTTTGTATGTAACCATAGGTGTTATCCCTGAATTCTATAATCTCTTTTCTGAATATTGAAAGGAATCGCCGCTCTGCTCTCAAGGACGTAGGCATCTTTGCAGAACCTCGTTAAATCTCTTTGTGTTCTTCTTGATTTGTGTCAATTTCTGTCTTTCCTCACCCTAATTTCTCAACAGTTAATATAATTGCAACATTTCATTTTGTTCATAATTACTTTCCTGTGTAATTAGTCTCGTTTTAATGTTGCATGACTCATTTTAATTACCCGCATGTCATGTTTTAGTAATTATTATTTTTTAAAATTTTTGATATGTGAAATCTTTCATATGTTTTGATTATGATGCATGAAATATAACTTATATTAGTATTTTTATGCCGATATTAAATCATTGTGTCTTGACAAGTCAGACCGATGGACCCTCAAAGATATCAATGAATTTCTATATAATTTGTGCTTATCTTTCCTTATTTCAAGATGTCACCGAAAACCAATTATATAAATGCAACATATATATATATAT